ACATTTTACGGACGCCGAGGAAGCAGTGGCGGCGTTTCAAAATGCCGTCAAAAAGAGCCTTAAGGACAAGTAGGCAAAGTGATTTTCTCAGTGGTTCCATCGGATGCAGCGATGTATTGATGTCAATGGACACTATTTTGAGAAGATATAATCTAAGAACTTGCTAGTTCGTTCAGTTTTTGATTTTCTTTTTTATAGTTAAGAATTTAGGAATATATATATCGACTCCACCCTAACAAGGTCACCTCAAATTAATGAAGTTATTACGAAAATGTTTGCAGCTATAAGCTCTCTGCGGAGACTTAGAAATTTTCTCCCTACTGCCACTAAAGTTACGCTTGCTTAATCCCCACTTCTGCCTATACTTGACTGTGCTAATGTTTGCTATCTGGATATTACCGAAGCGCAGTTAATTAAAATTGTTGATGACAATCCAAAGTTTATGCTTACGATTCATATTTGGTCTCCGTAAATATGATTACATTTCAGAATTTCGATTCAGAATTTCAGAATTTCGTAAATGTCTCAAGTGGCTGCCGATTTGCCTTCGCAGGAATACTCACATTCTTTCTGCTTTATACAGCATACTGTTCAATCCCTCCACTCCATGTTACATGAAAGACCGTTTTGAATTCATTTCCTCCTCTCACGATCATCATTTACGTCCCACTAACAATTCTCGTCCTCTTTTTTTCTTAAAGAATATTAACAATGCTATAAACATTACTAATATTCCCTTTAACCACTCGTGGTAAGCTTAAATTGCTTGTGTTACGAGTGGTTCACGCCAGTAGTCGAATGGTGGATTCCAACCCACGACCTTTTTGAGTTCGCGGTCCGCGCCTTGCCATTAGGCTACTGTCGCTTATATTACTTCAATAAATCATTTTCCGTTACAGCTGTATGCTTGTGGAACTCCTTGCCCCTTTTTTCCTTCAAAAATCTACTCAAAACATTACCTGGAACTCTAATATTTCCCATCATAATTTCCTTCCTCAAATCTTGTGTGTGTGTGTATTATGTTACGAGCTTGAGGTTCGTGACAATAAAAACTGCCGACTGAATTACCAAAATTAACACTTAAATCACCGAACACCAATTAAAACTTAAAAACACTAATAATTAATCACACTGATTCACTTTATTTCGCTCCGAAGCTTCGCTTGTCTCGCCCAATTCAATACTGCCCGATCGTGGCAAGCAGCGGGTTTAAATACACGTTTACACCGAAACTTCCAGAATATTCCCGTAGATACGGGCGCCGACCAACCAGACGCAATAAGTTCGAGTGTGGGGCTTCTAGAAAGCTTAGTTCTTCAATTCAATAATAGATGGCGCTGTTGGTTGAAAGATTAGTCATGTCATTTTCTGGAAAGCTCTCCTCGCTCTGTTACCCGACACTAGATGACGTCAACTTAGGTGCGCAACACTGCCTCCTCCTAAGACATGCACGTCCCGAGCATTATCGGCCCCATAATAACGCGCCAGGCGATCCACATTGACAATCTTAGGAGTCCCTCTTGCGCCTTTTATCCGGTAGGTTACATCGTTGATCCTGGTCACAATCCGGTACGGTCCGTCCCATTTAGCTTGAAGCTTAGGAGATTTCCCTTTGCTGCGGACTGGATTGTGATACCGGGTTTTCATCTTTTCGGACATTTTCTGGCCCGATTGTCTGGCGTGCTCATAAATGTCATTCATTTTGTTCCGCAAGTCATTTGCATAATCGGTTATACTGCGTGGCGCATCAGGTGGTGTCCCGGTGATCAGGTCTGCAGGCAGCCGTAATTCTCTTCCAAAGTTTGCGAAAGCTGGTGTTACTGATGTACTTTCGTGAACAGCGCTTCGATATGACAACAAAAACGGTTGTATGTGCTTGTCCCAATCTAGTTGTCGAATGTCTACAACTTTTGCTAGGTACCTCTCCAATGTCTGATTAAATCGTTCTACCATTCCATCAGATTGCGGGTGATAAAAAGTCGCACTTGTTTTATGAGTACCCATAACTCGGCAAGTTTCCTGGAATATTTGAGACTCAAAATTCCTTCCTTGATCGCTGTGAATCTCTAAAGGTACTCCAAAACGACAGAAGAATTCATGAACTAGTTTATCTGCAACTGTTGAAGCTTCTTGATTTGGAATGGCGAAGACTTCTGGCCACTTAGTGAAGTAATCCATCACAACCATGAAATACTTGTTACCGCTTTCACTCTCCGGAAACGGCCCCGCCACGTCAATGGCTATTCTCTCCCATGGTGCACCAACATTGTACAACTTCAATGCACCTCTACTACGAGTCTGATGTCCCTTTACAGCCGCATAAATTGTACATTTGCGACACCAGTCCTCGACATCGTTTCGACAGTTGACCCAGCAAAACCATTCTCTGATCTTCAGTAGAGTTCGTTTAACTCCCAGGTGGTCTCCTGAACAATCATTATGGTACAGCTGTAGATCATCCGGTACTTTAGCTTTAGGGGCAACCATTTGCAAATGACAGCTGTCTCCCCGAACATTTTCCCATTTACGGCCTGGAACTCCATCCTGAAGCAGCAAGCTGTCCTACTGGGCCCTTTTAGTGGTCGAACTCATCGCTGAGGTATCGCTCCACTTGGGCTTGGGAGCACTGGCCTTTATCCATTGCAGAATCGGCTTGATGTCCGGATCTTCCTGCTGTGCACGTTGTAAGCTGTCCTTCCACTCGTTGCTGAGGTGGTCTGTCCTGAGCATCCTCACTTCCTTACTCTCTTATCTAGTACAATGTTTGCAATCTTCAGGACAAGGTCTTCTTGACAATGCATCGGCGTTGCCATGAGATTTCCCGCTGCGATGTTCGATCTCAAAGTCGTATTCCTGCAGTAGTTCAATCCACCTCGCAGCTTGTCCTTCTGGATTTTTAAACTGCAATAGCCATTTTAGTGCAGCATGGTCAGTTCGTATGTGAAATTTCCGCCCCAGAAGATATTTGCTAAAATGCTGCAACGACTTTACCACAGCTAGCAATTCGCGTCTTGTGACACAATAGTTCCTTTCCGGTTTTGACAACGACTTGCTTAAGTATGCTATCACGACCTCTTGGTCACCATTCAGTTAAGACAACACACCGCCAAGTCCTATATCACTTGCGTCTGTGTCAACTATAAATTCTTTGCTTGCATCAGGGTATCCCAAAATAGGTGTTTTACACAGACGCTCTTTGAGCTCCTGGAATGCGATATTGCAACTTTCATCCCAGCAGAAATGTCGCTTCTCCTCGGTTAGCTTGTGCAGAGGTTTGGCTATATCTGCAAAGTTCTTCACAAATCGCTGATAATAGGAGCACAAACCCAAAAATGCTTTAACCTGCGTCTTGTCTTTTGGAACCGGCTAATCCTTGACAGCAGCGATTTTCTCCGGATCTGTGCGGATATCTTCTTCCGACACTACATACCCCAAAAAGTTGACTTCTTCGGACTCAACTTGAGGTTGGCACTCTGAATCTTCATGAGCACGCGTTCCAGGTTTTGAAGGTATTCCTCAAACGTGCGGCCCACGATGATAATGTCGTCCAAGTAGACCAGACAGGCATCGCCAATTAGCCCGGTAAGTACAAGCTCCATCAGCCTTTCAAACGTTGCTAGAGCATTGCACAATCCAAACGGCATTACTTTAAATTGCCACAGACCCTTTCCCATCGAGAACGCAGTTTTCTCCTTGTCCTTAGGGTCAATTTCAACTTTCCAGTAGCCACTTTTTAGATCCAGCGTGCTAAACCACTTTACTCCTGTAAGCATGTCCATCGTGTCATCAATTCTTGGTAAGGGATAGCTGTCCTTCTTTGTAACGTCATCCAGATTATTCCCGTAGATACGGGCGCCGACCGATCAGACGCAGAAAGTTCGAGTGTGGGGCTTCTAGAAAGCTTAGTTCTTCAATTCGACACTAGATGGCGCTGTTGGTTGAAAGATTAGTCATGTCATTTTCTGGAAAGCTCTCCTCGCTCTGTTACCCGACACTAGATGGCGCTAGTGCCAGACGTCAACTTAGGCGCGCAACAATATATTTATATATTTTTTTACTTAATTTTCAAATTTATGTACACTTGCCCTATTTGCAATTCACTGTAAACACAGTTCTTTGCTAAAGATGGGTTGTCTGAAAGAAATCGCTTCCAGAGCGATAAGACCGCCTGTTGTACTTTCTATATTTCATTTTGTCTCTTCCTTATGTGTGTTAGTGTACAATAAAAATATATTGATTGACGGGTGATGACCTGCTGCAAATAAAAGAACAATAACTAAAACAGCTCATAATAAATATGGTCACTTACCTGGGAGAAGTGGCAAGCGGCCTCTCTCTTGACGGCTATAAGGGCACGATGAAAATTGCGACGACGGTGGCTAATTTTTTTTCTTTGCGCCCGAAGCAAATAATGGAAACCCTCCGGTAACGGGGGAGGGAGGTGGTGAATGCTCATAGCATACCACTCAGCCGGCTGCGTGGTCATGTGGAGACTTTTACCCACTAAACACCACCTTTTGGGGATAGGCTTAACGATCTAGCGAGAGATCTTTAACGGACGTGACCCTCCTTGGCTGAAAGCCAACCTGAGCGGGTGACCTGAGCCGCCAGGAGGCAGTTCAGGTCACCAGAAAGCTTGGGGGGGGGGTATACTGCGGTACGACGGTGGCGGCGCGCGTTCTTTTATAGCTTCCGCCATCTCCCCTTTCTACTTGCCGGAGCGCACCTCTCATTGGAGGACCAAAGATGCCTCCACCAGTATCTAACTCCTTCTTACTGGGCAGGCCCGTGCGGGGAAGGAACAGAGGAGATTATGTCAGGCAACCCAACTAACAAATACGAAATGCAAGGGTGCGCGTTGGCGCAACCAAGTAGTGACTTAATTTTTACAATTTCACAATCGTTATTTGTCTTTTTGTGGATAATTGATTTTTGTTTTTATTATTTACAGATCGTGTAATGTATAGCCAGAAGTGTTACAGTCATTAAACCTATTTGAAATGGACAAAGTATATTTCTTTGTAAACGGTCACCGTTATACTGTATGTAAGTCAAACTTATTTTTTTATATATATAAGAGGAAGCAAACGAGCACGCGACTCACCTGATGGTAAGTGACTACCGCCACCCATGAAAAACTGCAACACCAGGGAAATTGCTGATGCGTTGCAGGCCTTTTAAAAAAGATAAGCCTTTTTTTGACAATGCTTAGGTGGTATCGGTCCGGAAAAATCGCTGGTGGTAGTCGATTACACAAGGAAGTTATTTTGTACGTTTTGTACATGGTAGAGCCACGCTGCAGTTATATTATGGTTTTAGCACGAACGAATCGGCGCAACCGGGAAAGGAACACGCTCTCACAGAATACCAGCGTAAAGTAGCAGCTTAATGATGCTGTGTTTCGTATAGTGAGTGTAGAGATCCGGAGACCCTCTTTTACTGGAAACGAGGCATTCCATCTTGGTCCTCAGGGGTGACAACGCATCTGCATTTTGATTCTTAATCGGGGATAAATGTAGATGCCTATGGGCCACAGCATCCACTTACTATCAGATGGACTGTGTGCTCGTTTGTCACCCTTATTCTATAAAAAAAAATAAAAAAAATATTCTATTCTATTCTAAGGACCAGTGGCGAAGCTTTATAACAACGACGAAAATGTTTGCCTATTCTTATAGGGTTGTCACCTGATGCACATGAAAATTTTTAAGGAATAAATAAAAATATTATAATGTAGTATACAACAATATGTGTATTCATTGTAACTTAAATTAATATAGCAACATGTCTTTTAATTGTTATTTGAATTGAAACTGCAAAAATTTGTATTGCTTATTATTTTTATATTATTTCTTATGGAAGCTTGCTGTGTGGCTATTTACAATTTAAATGAATTTTAAGGAAATAAATATTCTTACAGAAGCTTCATATAATTTTATCAATATAATTTTCGTAAGACAAATTATTAATGAGTACGAAAAATCTGTTAGTGTTAGTAATGGCTGTGATGGTGTAGTGGTGTCGCGGCTGTGGTAATGATGCTCGTCATGGTGGTGGTATTAGTGACGGTGGTGGTGCCAGTAGTAGTCCACTGCCCACCACCACTACCAACTATCCTACCAGAACGATCACCCCCACCACTGACATCGTCATCATCAATACTGGCACCACTACAATCAAAACCACCCCACCATTGTTTGACGATTATATTCCAACTATATGCATATATGCATATAGTTGGAATATAATGCATTGGTACCAGGGGTAAATAGTAATACCTTCTTGCCTCACTATTGCGGCGGGGGTGTGTTCCAATTTACCGTGCCGCATCTAGTCAAAGGCGACGCCCTGTCTCGATTAAGATTCAAAATACGAATATGCTGTAGCTCCTGAGATCTTGGTATACTTTATTTGCAGTTTGCTAGTATTATAGTTGAGCTAACTACGTGGAAGAGATATGCTATAGCTATATCTTAGTAGTAGCACGAACCGGTCGGCTCGACCGTGGAAGTACCACGCTCTCACAAAATACCAGCTTTAAATAGCAGCTTAATGCTATTGTTTAGTATGGAAAGTGTAGAGGACCGGAGACCCTTTTTACTGTCTTTTTACTGTGTGCTCAAACACAGTCAACCTGATGGTAAGTAGTTGCTGTGGCCCATAGCCATCTACATCTATCCTCGATAACAAACAAAAATACAGATGCGTTGTCACCCATGAAGACTAAGATAAAATGCCTCGTTTTAAGTAAAAAGGGTTTCTGGTTCTCTAAACTCACCATACGAAACACGGCAGCATTAAGCTACTATTTAACGTTGATATTCTGTGAGAGCGTGGTACTTCCCTGGTCGAGCCGACCCATTCGTGCTACAACTATACTACTAATGTTCTTGGACCGTTTTTTTGCAAAATAACTGCGGCATTGCTCTGTCTTGTTTGACCCTATACCTCTTTTTTTGGTTGTCTTATCTGCTGCATTATACAAGCATAGCAGCGATTAGCTCCTTATTTAAGCTACTCCATGAAAATCCATTCCATTAGACTATGGAGACCAGGTGACTAAAATGAAATTGTTTGCAAGTTTGAGCGCAGATTTACTACGTCTCGTCGGTGAAGGAGAATTAATATTTATTTTTCACCGTCGATTAAGCTTTAAATGTTATTTTTAATTTTTCGTTGTTGTGTTATGCTGTTGATTTATTTTCTAGCTGAATCAGAAGTTGGTCCGTCCACATCATTAAATGATTACCTCCGCGACTGTCTTGGTCTATACGGCACTAAGTCGATGTGCCACGAAGGTGGTTGTGGAGCGTGCGTGGTCTCCGTGAGCCAGTTGAATCCTGTGTCGAAGGAGAAGCAGGTGTTTTCAGTTAACTCTGTAAGTTAAAAAGACAATATTGTTTAGATTTGTGTTTGTTTCATATATTTGTGCATAACACATATTGGTTGGTCCATTTTTTGTATACGTACTACTCTGCCACTGTTAAATAAACTTACTACATAAGTTGACTATATAAACCCTCTTCGATGGCAACTACTAGTGAACGGAAATAGTAATGATAAAAATTAAAATAAATTACTAAGTACTCGACGGCGAAGGAAAACATAGTGAGGAAACCTGCATGTCTGACAAATTAAAAATTATTTCGAAGACGTAAAGTCTGCCAGCTTGGGGCACCGCGGCAAACATTCACTTTACCTATAACCCTCTAAAATCTGTGAGAAGACCTGTGCCTAGCAGGGAGGCGTATGTAGGCTGTAAATTTACTTTTATACACTACTCAACGCTAACTTCAAGTTAGTAACTGGTCTGAAACAAATCTTTTATACTTTTGTAACTATATAATATAATTGTATTGAAGAAATAAATTGGTAATAAGTAATCATAGAATAAAGCTGTGGAATAGTGTGGCCTTCCAGCACAAGTATTTTAAATACCTAAAAGGAGGTACTAACAATTTACAACGCACTTATTACAGAATAAAAATACTTAGTTTTGCGTGTTTTAGTGTTTGGTCCACATTCTGTCCTGTCATCAATGGGAAATAACCACGATAGAGGGCCTGGGCAACCGCAAAGATGGTTACAATCCGCTGCAAACTCGACTAGCCATGTTCCACGGCACGCAATGCGGCTACTGTACACCTGGGTGGATAATGAGTATGCACAGGTAAATATTATTACGACAGCCAGTTGCCATATTTACCTTAACCGTGTAAGCGGTATAAGAATATCCACTAACGTATATCGTCGAAACAAACAAGGAGATTGGCAGCACTTTATACGTGGTAGAGCCGCGCTGTAGTTATAATGTTGTAGCACGAATGCGTCGGCTCGACCGGGGAAGGACCACGCTCTCACAGAATACCAGCGCAAAATAGCAGCTTAATACTGCTGTGTTTCGTGTGGTGAGTGTAGAGATCCAGAGACCCCTTTTTATGAAAATGAGGGATGACAACGCATGTGCGTTTTGATTCTTAATCGAAGATAAATGTAGATGTCTATTTGCCACAGCGTTCACTTACCATCAGGTGGACTGTGTGCTCGTTTATCACCCTTATTCTATAAAAAGCAGCATCTTCCTAATAACAACTAAAAAAACATATGTGCATAATGACAGACGCTCTGGGAAGTCTGCAGTCTGCGAACATGTTCATGATCGTCCCAGCCATTATATTAGATTTGATAAATCACAAATCCTCGCAAGAGAACACCGATTCCTACCAAGGATGATACGCGAGGCTACTGAAATTAAAAAACATCCAAATTTCAATAGAGAAGATGGATGGGTGCTGCCATCTGCTTGGAATCCTATAATTAACAAAATTAAACCCAAACCCATGCATACCACTGCAAGACTTCATGATACTACAAGCTCGTTTTGGGTAAATCGGACCAAAAATTAATATTCAAAAACTGAAGGTAACCGGACTATGACATTGGGACGTCAAACATCTCAGTCCCCCCCGTCACCATGGGTGCTGTAAAGCACACGAAACGTCGGGATAACAAAAATAAATTAAAGTTGTAATTAAACGCGAAAAAATCCGTAAATAATAGTTTTATTCAACATGTGTGCAGTTCACACGCGGTAAAAGTGAAATCTTCAAAGGAAATGAAATATATAATAAAAATATTTCACAAGTGCGGCATAAAATATAAGAAGAATAAGAGTTTAATTTTATGGCAAATTATGATACAATCCTTATCTTTAGACTTAATTTTAGTGTTATAAATCGAAAGAATATTTTCTTTCGAGTAAAATTGCTTTATAATAGCGCCATCTACTTCATTTTTTAGGTAAAATAATTTTATCGAGCAAAAATTGATTGATTCAGAAGGTATACGTAAAATAAACGCTAGATTTTTGTTTCATTTTTTATTTGTTAAATTTGTTAATTTATTAAATAAATCAAAAATTAAAATTTTGTTTTTAAAAGAAGATAAAAAGACAGTGGTCGAATGGTGGATTCGAATGCACAACCTTTTCAGTTCGTGCTCTATACTGTATTCTATCTCATTCTTTCGCATTCTAAATAATATAAATATACATATAGTATAATATGTTTAGTGTCGCTATTTCGTTCATCGAGTTTCAAATCACAATGATTCTAAAGAAGTTTCCACTTCAAAGAACTGCTGTTGCTAACCAACCTGAAAGCGTGGCAACTGTAGCAAATATTCCCTTATGAGGTTTATGGAGCCCTATGTTCAGCTACAAACTTTTTATAGGCTGTAAAGATAGTGCAGGTACCTATTTCCTTCAAGATACTAGCCATACGAGGACGCTCAAGGTTTCTCAGCAAGCTATGGAAAGGGCTATGGTCGGGGTTTCTCTGCGTGATAAACTTAGAAATGAGGATATCCGCAGTAGAACCAGAGTGACCGACAAAGCCTAACGGATTAGTAAGCTGAAGTGGCAATGGGCTGGCCTTATAGCTCGAAAAACCGACAACCGATGGGGAAAAAAGGTTCTCGAGTGGCAGCTTCGTACCGGTAGGCTTAGTGTAAGGGTGACCCCCCACTAGATGGAGTGACAACCTGGTAAGACATGCAGGAAGTCGAAGGATGCAGGTATGTTAGGACCGTGCTTTGTGGCATTCCCTGGGGAAGGCCTATGTTCAGCAGTGGACTTGTAAAGGGTTGAAATGATGTTATGATGAAGAAGTTATCACAAGTTTTCATTACATTAAATACATACTATATTTCCTATTCTTGTCACCCTTACTTAAGAGCAAATATTTTTCTTTAAAATAAAAGGGGACTACCCGTGAGGTACGAGTATATCCCGTAGTTTTAAAGGTATCGTGAAACATACATACATCGAAATAAGAACCTCTTCCTTTTTTAAATTGGTTAATAGATTATTATAGAACCCAAGGGAGATCAGTTCCGAAGTGCTCTGGCCGTTCTAAGACTATGCTGTGTTTGAAACTTTTTAGTATCCTTTTATTTAATTTAAAATGTGCTGTAGTTGTAAAAAATGTGTTATAAGCTCAAAAGAACTTTGCGTTATCTTAGTATTTCTTTTAGAATAGAATAGAAATGTTATTCAATATAGATTATTAAATAATTCTTATTGAAATCTCACTTTTTTACTTTCACCACGTTTATTGTATATAATATATTCTCTCTTTTCTTTATTTAGTTTATACAAAGGCGCACAGAAGAAATTAACAACACAAGAGATAGAGAAGTCATTTGGTAGCAACATATGCCGCTGTACCGGGTACCGACCCATCCTGGACACGTTTAAAAGTTTTGCCACTGATACAGAGGTTCAAATTCCAAGTGACATAAAGGTAAGTTAAGAAAAGTTAACTTTCAAAAGTAATAACTGTTTTTAACTTTTTATTCGAGTGAAGTAAAAAGGTGCATCAGGTGAACAGCCATATCATTCCACCCAAATAATTCACAAACTAAGTTACTTATTTTGGTAATAATAAAGTTACTGAATATATACTGAATCTGTGAAGAATTTGGGCTTAATTATTGACAATAGGTTATCATGGGGTCCTCACATAATGGACTTAGGTAGAAAAGTTTATTATGCTTTCCACTCATTAAAACGTCTTCAAAGTTTTTTACCCTTATAAACGAAAATCACTCTTGTTCAAACCCTTATTTTGCCTATCTTAGATTACGCTGATGTCTGTTTTTTGGATGCCACAGAGGAGCAATTAAACAAACTTGAGCGATTACAAAACCTTTGCATTCGGTATATTTTCGGACTCAAGAAGTTTGACCACGTCTCTGAATATAGAAAGCAACTCAAGTGGCTCCCGATCCGATTTCGCAGGAACACTCGTATCCTTTGTCTCCTTTTTTAACATCCTACACAGCCCAAACTTCCCTACATACCTCCGAAATCGATTTACCTTTCTTAAATCCCCAGATACAGTTTGTAGATCACACCTTAAAACTCTCTTAAAATTCCCATCCTTTAATACTCATTCATATTCCCGTTCATTCTCCATACAAGCAGTAAGACTCTGGAATTCGCTTCCTACTGATATTCGAGAAATCAAAACACTGACATTATTCAAAAAACGAGTGAAAGAACATTATTTATCGCTGTCTTCTGTGTAAGTCTCAAATCTGTGATATGTACTATACTGTTACAAATATGTGCATGTACATATATGTATGTATGTGTGTCTGTATATATGTTTATATATTTAATTATGACTTTATATTATATTTAGTATTTATGTATGTATTAATGTTTGTTTAAATATGAATATATTCATGTATTTGTATGTATATGTATATATGTATATATATATGTATATATATATATATATATATATATATATATATATATATATATATATATATATATATATAAAGTATTTGAGTTGACGTATATATTTATCTTGCACCCATATGTGTAGTAAAATAACAAAGTGCACACCTTATAATCATTTAGTAATCATATGTGTTTGAAACTGGCCTACTGGAAGAAATTTCATTGTGAGAAGGCTCTACTTGCCTTTGTACAAACTTTGTATTATGATGTGTCCTCTCCCTAACTTGTGTGTACATAAATTGTGAAATAAATAAATAAATAAATAAAGTTAACGTTACATATTGCATAATAACATAGGTAAGACTTCGGAGCGACTAAAATTCATTCAATTGTCCTTCGACTGGACACGTCTCCCCGCACTCGCACCTACAGCCCGCCCGCCTCTACATGAATGACATCCAAAAAAAAAGGGTCTCTACTCTCTACCTGCCTGATAAACAATGGCGGGTGCGTAGCTAGACGATGCGCAAACGCAAGGGCTTTTTCAAATACTCAGAAATAGTTGCATTTGAGTAATAAACGTGCATTTTAACCTTAGAAACTTGCATTTACCATTAGAAAACTAATACGATGTAGAATAACACAAGATTTAAAAAAAAGTAGGATTAAGAGGACGATTTTTCGAGAAATTTTAAAGTTATTGTAAAAAAGATGAAAAACATACCAGATTTTCATCAAATAGGTACCTCTTTATTCTAATTTTATGGCGTTTCTTTTTTTAGAATTATTTACTTTATTGGCACGGCTTATTATTAACAATCATTTAAAATTTTATTCCACTTTGGTAGGACATTCAGTTTAAAAGTTATAACCATTTATTTAAATAGGGTTAGCAGCTGCAATTTCAAATTTTAAAATATTCATAAAAAAAATAATTTTTTTACATTTTTTTTAATAATTTTTCCGTCTATGAAATTATATGTAGTTTCCCTGGTTTTGATATGTGCACTTTATAAAGACTCACACTATTTATTTTCTTTGGGATTCTTTTCTTCATTTATATTCTATAGTACGTTTCTAGGGCAGGCGGATAAAAGTACATTGACCTCAAGTATTATGTTAGCATCGAAACAAAACGACAGTTATTGCTTCCATACATTTCTTTGTATATTACGTATCGTTATGCGCTAAGCGTGTCTCATGGTACGGGTAGGGTTGCCAGGTGAGTTGCGAAAAAAAATACCGGACAACCCCAAACGGGGGGGGGGGGTTGGTTGTAAGCTAGTTCGAACAAAATACGGGGTTTTTTATACTAATAGTTTTTATTTATTAATCTACATCACATAAATCAACTTAATTAGTAACAAAATATAATGCAGTCATAAAATTGTGGTCGCCAAGACTATGCTTACTTTCAGAAAGTCTTTATTAAAACAATGGTATTAATATTATAATCTACTACTTACTTAACAAAATAAAGGTAGGAACTTCAGAAAAAAATAAAATCACCTAAAACTAGATAGGTATGTTTAACAAAAATAATAGGAACTTCTAATGAACAAATAATAAAGTTAAATCATTCTCTAAAACTAATTTATGTATGTTGTACTGTACCTAGGTACTACTTTTAGGTAGTACCTACTTACTTCTTTTTAACATATTTTGTATTTGACGCAACCGCTTTCAATAATGTTTTATTTGATACAACACGTTCTTTAAAATCAGTGCAGCTTGAGTTTATGTTGAAAAAAACACACAGTTCACTTTTCACAGTCTCTAGACCAAGGCGGTTTCGTTCATTGGTCCATATATTCCCCATCACACTGAAAATGCGCTCGACGAAGGCGTTCGATACAGGAATGCTGCATACATGTTGAACCAATTTGAGAAGATTTGGCGCTGATTCTTTACTAAAAAAGCTGACCACATATCCACTGACTTTCCCTCCAGGGACTGGTAAATACTACTAAGTATAGCCAACTCTGAGTAGAGTGCTTCCGGTGGAGTGTCGTTGCTTCTCGTTAGAGTCCACAATTCAATTAGTTGGTCCAGAGTTGGTAGACCGCGTTCAAGGTTCAAGCAACTGAAGCCTCTGAACACCGAGTTTTCGAACTGGAACCACTTTTCCAAATAAGCAACAGCTCGTTGATAAGCAATCAGGGCGTGTTTTTTAAACTCCTGAGTTTCTTCATCCGATAGGTACTTTTTGTTCATGGCCATACGCACTTTCATTCCGAAGTGTTCATCATAAATTTTTTTCGCTATTGTGTCCCGGAATTGTGTCATAATATTGTGTAGACTGAAAGCTAATGTGTCGTTATTTTCCAGTAATAGTAACACTTCCTGGAATGACGCCATGAAGTTGTGCGTGAAGTATAGATAGAGTTCGGTATAAGTTGGGTTCGTTTCTGTTGTGGGATTATCTTTTTTGGTCTTTTATACTAGCCCATATAGCCGGTGAACAATTATTGACGCCTAGTTCGAGAAAGTATTTTTTTAACGGCCCCCACGATGACAGAACTGTGGTAACACTAGTGGGTACATGGCGAAGGACCTCTTTGAATTTACTTTCATAAAATTCAAAGCACTCTTTCAGGTCTTGTCTCTTCTTTGCTGCATGGGAAAATTCTGAAAATGTTTTCAGAACGATGTTTTCTACGTCAACTGGCAACATCTTTAAAGCATTTTTGGCACAGTTATGAATTATATGATCAATGCAATGGGCAGCGATGATGTTACTATTTTCTTCCTCTTTCAGTTTCTGGTACACCGAATTATTCACTCCATAATTAACAGAAGCGTTATCTGCTCCATACGCAGTTACTCTGCTCCAAGAAAGATCTGCTTCTGTTAAGACTTTGGACAGGTGATTTTTTATAGATCGCGAGTCTTCGAATGGATCTTCGTAGAAATCTAAAATTTTTCGGCACATTCCAGATTTTGCTGTAAAATACTGAACGGCAACTGGGAACAACTTCTTGTTTCCTTTATTCCACGCATCAGTAGCGACGGAAAAAGGCATGACTTCTTTCAAATCCTCATGGACCAGTTCCATTGAATAAGGGTACAGAACTTGATTCAAAATGGCAGTGCATTTGGTGCGCCCTCCGGTCATTTGTTTTACGATTTCCGAATCTGTGATGGTTTGTTTTCTGACCTTTAATGAACAATCTTGAGCCAAATAGGAGATGTGATGTTTTACAGACTGAAAAATATCTGCTAACTCGGCAAGGCTTACATTTTCAGTCTGTGCGCTTCCTTTAGGCGTAAAGAAAGAGTTCATTCTTTAGGACTTGGCTTGCGCACTTTCCGCCTCTTTATGCTTTTTTGTAGAGGAATGCTGGTTCACCCTCTTCAAACCTTCAGCCACAGCAAATTCATTTCTACAAATTTTACAGTAAGCTCTAGTGTCGACGTTGGCTTTAGTTATCCAAGAATATTTATTTTCCCAGTCTTTATTATAATGGCACATTCGTCTTATTTTCTTTGGCGGTGTTGCAGAACTGGTGGAAGCTTCTTCTTCCTCCATTTTCCATTAGCTTTGTGTAAAACTCAACAAACAGTCAAAAACACAAACATACACTCAACTACGACGAACAACTTTGCTTGTTTCAACGAGTAGGTACTTAGGTCAACTGCGTAAACACTCCCGAACGTTGCGTAATCTAATTATCGACTAGGTAAACAAAACTCGAAAAATCAAAACAAAACACACCGGACGCGCGCGGGTGGGGGAGTAGACGCAGGCAGCCAGTACAAGTGAGTGAGACGGGTATACAGTGGTGAAGTGAGAGCCCGCAGATGCAGATACAAACAGCAAGCGAGGAGCGCGCGCGAGTTTTGCGTTTTAGGGATTTCATATGCCTTCTTTTGTAGGCGCTTGTGACCAGTAGTACCGACTTTCCTCAAAATACCGGACATTGTTCTGTCCGGTATGACCATTTATATTTTACCGGACAGGCCTCGAAAATACCGGACTGTACGCTTAAATACCGGACATCTGGCAACCCTAGGTACGGGGTAGGGTGAAGGAAGCGGTCATTCAGAGATAATAAACCTGTTTCGATGCGATTTGCGATAGGTCTCACGCCGTGCGGATTTGAGAAAGCGGATGGAGCAGAACTCATTTCCAAAGAGTATAATAAGTATCATTCCTCATTCTGCCTTTGGACGCGCTTGCGTGTAGATTTAAAATGATTTAAAATTTTCGGTTATAGTAGTTGTTTTAATTTTTATTAAGTTTGTTTTGTTAGTTGTATTATTACGTTTTGTATTAAAGTTTTTGTTATTGTTTTGTGAGTATGAAATCGAGTCCATCGACATGAAAATCACATAAAGACTTTACGTCACCACGAAAGAAGCGGAAAGTGTCGCATATTTCGGAAACCGAAAAAATAATGATTGTAAACATCTATAAATATGTAAAAGAAATATGGTCTAGTGACCTATATCCATCCAAAACGGATATGAAAAAGAAGACTGCCGATATTTTAGTTTATAATCAATGTGACGGACTCTTCTACGTTTTCATCATCATAAATGATTCCGAAATAGATACAGATGAATAGTCTGTCAGGTGTCTCTGACAATCTATTATGAGAAGTTTTGAAGACTGCCAAAAAGTAGTTATGTTTTATATAACTACCTTCCTACCTACTTATTAAAATAGTTACCTACTATTAACGCAATAATGAAAATTCTAATAACTCGTGATTTATAAATAATAAACATAAATCAATATTAATTTGCCTTTTTATTCGTTTAGGTACAGGATAATCTTCTTTCTTTATTATATAATAATAGACATAGGGCCTGTAAAGAACTTCGCACTCGGCAGCCTTATCTTTCACTCTGATGATGTATGTAATGATAAAAGGATAAAAAATGAACCTAAACAAAAAAGATTGCCTACCCCAATGATATCGTCAAAGGTCAATGTACTTTTTTCCGCCTGCCCTAGAAACGTACTATAATATATAATGAATTACTCAAAGTCTGTTTGATAGGTATATTCCTTTTTTTATTTTAGTAAGATTCTCTCTATCAATATAAAATTTTTTATTTGCCCAATCAGTCACATTAATTTCTGATAGTATTTTTACTTTCTGCGAATACGGGTGCTTGTATATTGATCTTTGAAGCTAATCGATTAATTAGGTCGGGTAACTGAAAAACCTATGTTGTTTATTTCTTAAATAATATCTGGTGTTGTATTCTCACTGAGAAAACTCTAAAATTTTTTCATATTGACGTCTTCGTAAGATGAATTATTATAATACCCAATATGTTTACCGTGACTGCAAATAACTTATTGCTTCATTGAAAACAACTTAGTTTTCTTAAACTCATTCTAGAGCACCCAAATGACTAAACAGCTTGGTGCACCATCATTGTACCTGTGGTTACTTTTAGGAATGTTGGTAAACTTCTTGCTTCTATGTCATTTCTTGTTAAAATGCGAATGTCAATATTCACTCTAGGTCCTAAGGCAGGCTAAGAATGATTTTAATAAGTCCACGTCACTGCTAAAGTCGACTGCTTGATCTGCTGTTCCTTTGAGAACAGCACCAACTTCATCCGGCGCCCATTTGCCGTGTCCATCTTTTAAGTAGTTCCAGGTCACAGATTCCTCAGATTATTAACAAACTTAAAACTACACCTAGAAACAAAGTGAAAACTATCAATCCTTTATGTTATTATGCATTAAAGTAGCATTACTACTATATTGTCCTAGTATTCTTGTGGAAAAATTCTCAACCACGGGTGGGACTAGAACCCGTGACCATACAGTTCGCAAAGTAAAAATGCACAGTAAAAAATAACAATAAATTGACATGAAAATATTCTAATGCCATCGTTTTGACATCATCACCATCACAAAAAACGACCGTATACGAAGGTTAAAATAAAGAAGGTTATAATTTTTAACAAAATCATTACACTCAATAATATGGATGATAGGAAAGAGCACGATTACAGAATAATCACATCTCGTGAAACTTTACTCGTAAATATTATTTTTCCACGAACAATCGTGAACCTTCCGCGATATTTGCTAGCAGACTGAGACTTGTGCTGGGCGCAGCACTGCTGTATATTAACGTTCAAGCCCATACGCCGACTATAATTTAGATTTCCATTAAAACCGATGGTAATCAGAAATGTTTTTTGATAAACATTTATGGAATAAAATTTCATTACATTGTGGAGTTATGTATCGTTATTAATTTTGGGTGTAAACGTTGTGCTTTTTAATAACGTTCATAGTATAACCATACTACGAATTTTTAATATTTAATATTGCTATTTTTGGTTAAAAAACAAAATTTAGGAGAGTAGTAAATAGACACCGACGAAAATAAGAATTATTGAAGCTTTTTATTTATAATTTACTTACTACGTTTTTTTATTTGTAAATATTAAATGCACGTAAGCATAACCTTCTTACATTTGGATCCCTTTATGAGAAATATAGATATTTAATTAAAAAAAAACTTTTCTCCCGGACGTGTAATGTGCACTAAAAAAGAGAAACATCCCGGTATTGATAGTTATTATCATTTTATCAAAGCTTTGATGTCAGAAAATCTTTTAGATGTATTTTAATAAAAACATTCTCAAAATTATTTGAATAAAAGAACAAAATTTCACTTTACCTGGTGTATGTGGACTATGAGAAAGCCTTTGATTCCGTAGAAATTTGGGCGGTGCTACAGTCCCTTCAGCGGTGCCAAGTTGACTGTCGGTATATCGAAGTGCTTAAGTACTTATACAGTAGGGCTACAATGGCTATTCGAGTACAAAACTAGAGTTCGAAACCTATCCAACTGCAGAGAGGTGTAAGAGAGGGTGACGTTATTTCTCCGAAACTCTTCACTGCTGCATTGGAAGACGTTTTCAAGCTACTGGACTGGAAAGGATACGGTATATACATCAATGGCGAGTACATCACTCATTTCGATTTGCCGACGATATAGTCCTTATGGCAAAATCGCTGGAGGACCTAAGTACTATGCTCAATGACCTCAATGGTGTCTCCCAACAGATAGGTCTTAAGATGAACATGGACAAAACAAAGATCATGTTTAATGTCCATGTCACACCTATGCCGGTAGTTGTTGGGAGCACTATGCTCGAAGTTGTTGACGAGTTTACCTGGGACAATTAGTCCGACTAGGTAAGTCTAACTTTGACCGAGAGGTCAATCGACGGATTCAACTCGGCTGGGCAGCGTTTGGGAAACATCATCAAACAACATCTTCTCGTCAGGTATACCTCAAACTCTGAAAACTAGATTGTACAATCAGTGTGTGTTACCAGTGATAACTTACGGATCTGAGACGTGGTCCTTCACTGCTGGCCGTATGAGGACGCTCAAGGTCGAGAGGTGGAGAGGGCTATGCTCGGAGTTTCTCTGCGTGATATACTCAGAAATGAGGATATACGCAGTAAAACTAGAGTGACCGACATAGCCCAACGGATTAGTAAGCTGAAGTGGCAATGGACCGGCCATATAGCTCGAAGAACCGATAACCGATGGGGAAAAAAGTTTCTCGAGTGGCAGCCTCGTACCGGTAGGCGTATTGTAAGGCGACCCCCCACTAGATGGAGTGACGACCTGGTAAGATATGCAGGAAGTCGATGGATGCAGGTGGCTCAGGACCGTGCTTTGTAGCATTACTTGTGGGAGGTCTATGTTCAGCAGTGGACTTGTGAAGGGCTGTAAGGATGATGATAATGACGTAGAATTACCGACTCTTAGTCGCCTGCGCGATATTTTATACTGCTATAACGTGTGGGAGACTACAGTTCCACTCTCATTTCTTCGTTTTTTTTTAACTCTCATTCCTAACATTGTTATAACTCTACTTATTTTCCGATCTACTACAGGACTTGGAAGATCTACACGAAATAAAATGTATCAACAAAACTCTTGATAAATGCAATGTCGATGATGAATGGTGTGTAATAGAAAATTCAAAGGAGTCAATGTTTCAAATTGATTTGAACGTATATCGCTGGTATAAGGCGTTTACTGTAGAGGAGGTTTTCAAGGTAAATTTCTTGGACCACTATTATATTTATAGTTTATGTATATTGGTAAAAGTACCAATGCCTTATTTATATGAAATACATGAAACGGTGTGTACTTATTTTCTCAGATGCTTTGGTAGTTATTATTAATCTTCATCATCAGTCTTTAGAAGTCCTCTGCTATATATATAAGAAGATATATAAGAAGAGAGATATAAGAATATATAAGATTCCGCCCTAGTATCGAGGACTTGTCTTAATCATTACAAGTGTAGCACTACCAGTTATCAGTCTGGGTATTTTATGCCTGGCGAAGAAAAATGGTAACAAGCATCTAACGGAAGTCATATTATCTTTCAGGTATTTCCCACAGTCAACTCATATGATATCCACCATATCATAACATAAAAATTAATAAAAATCGGACAAGTGCGAGTAAGACTCGCGCCCCGAGGGTTCCGTTTAATCTTAATTATATTTAACGATCATTGCTATAGCGAAAAGGCAAATAGGAACTTTGTTATCTAAAAACTTCTTCGTTACGTTGGTCAACATCACGGGCAATGATATAACTGCAAACGAAAGTTTGTAATAGCGAAAAAAATATTTGATGTCTACTACAAATTAACTTTTTTCGGAATTTTACCTATACTCGTGCTGGGAGTACTTGCTTCTAGCTTTCACAATTCTAGGTCACTGTGAAGTACTCTATAGATTATGATGAGTGAGTTTTCGAGTATCAAAAATGTGACGTCGGTGGCAGTATCCATTTATTTTTTTCATCTTCAAGAGACTGCACACCTTAGTATTTGACATTAATTTCAGCTTGGTACCTGTATCCATTCTTCATCATAAGGTCTTGAACGGACAGGCGAACAACAAATTGATAAGGTTTCTGATTATTTCTAACCGTCTTCAGACGTCTAAATAGTAAGAGACGACTAAGAAAAATATCTGTAAGTTCTCTAATCTCGAGATGTCTGATATTGCAATAGCCTGTCCAAGTATGAGATCTCATATCCAGCTGATAATTGGTTACTAAATCACCAGCCAAAATCTCAAAAAAACTTATGATTTCAGGTACTCTCAAAAGAAGGCACGAACAGTTACCGGCTCGTTGCAGGCAATACCGGGAAAGGTAAGTAAATGTGAAAGTTCTTCTGTTACGGATTTTAATTATTAGAATTAGTAGACTATGGCAGAGATATGTTTCAAATTTATTTATTTTTATAAAAATGTCTATATTAGATAGCGCGATTTAGGCTACGGTATATTTCGCTTGTGGCGCGAGAGCAGCGCCGCAACGGAAATATTATGAATTTGATTGGTTTATCAAAACTACCTTCAAACCTAACGGTCGGCTTCGACGTCAAAAGTGTTACGGAATAAATGAATTTCGATATTTTAAATGACTTTTTTGAATTAAAAACTTTCAAATTTGAAAAACAACTATGCCTTAAGCTCCTGATTCATTCACGAAGATTATATTTTTTTGGCAATTACTTAAATACTTTAGAACTAAGTTTAAGGTTATCTTCATCATTATATACGTGGTAGAGCCATGTTATATTAGTAGTATAGTTGTAGCACGAATGGGTCGGCTCGACCGGGGAAGGACCACACTCTCACAGAATACCAGCGTTAAATAATAGCTTAATGCTGCTGTGTTTCGTATGGTGAGTGCAGAGAATCGGAGACCCTTTTACTGGAAACGAGGCATTCCATCTTAGTTCTCACGAGTGACAACGCATCTGCATTTTGATTTGTAATAGAGGATAGAAGTAGATGTCTATGGGCCGCAGCAACCACTTACCATCAGGTGAACTGTGTACTCGTTTGTCACCCTAACCTATAAAAAAAATCCAAACATGAAGACGACTTAAACGTTTTAGTAATTTTCATTTCCAAATAAATTTTTAGGCGTTTACCCATTAACCGAGGAACCAAAGGCTTACATAGACATATCGTCAATAGAGGCTCTACGGGACGTGACAAGAGCCGCTAACCTGATATTAGGAGCAGGGATGTGTCTGACCGACATGATGAGGCAGTTCAAAGTCCACGCCAGGCTTAACGATGACTTTCAATACTTGGAGCTGTTCTACAAGCACATGGAATTGGTTGCACATGTTCCCGTGCGAAATGTAAGTTCGCGATATGTATTGGAGGAAAAATCTAGGTATTTGAGTCTAGCTGGTTTAGCAGAGTCAATCAGACGGTGTATAATGGGATCTCCTTGTATACCTTCCAATGATGCCATGTTTGTCTTGTTTAAATGTGAACGATATCGAATTTAACTTTTTCTTTAGATGAAAGTGTCATCACGTAATAAATAAACATATTATAAATATTTATTTGCAAGAACCACGGTATGAGATTTTACAATTTAGACATACAGTGCAGTCATGATTCGCTAACAATATTACATAGCATGCCAATTATAATTATAAATAATATGAATTCACTAATATCAATATCTTTCGCTTGACAATTTAAATAATACATGTTAGTTTATCAGTCGGGTCTTACGACGCCTTATATTAAAATAAGTTTACGTCGGTATAAGTTTTTGAAACAGTAATTTGTTACAGAAACGGGCTTTCCACGCATTTCGCAATTGGGAGGGATTGTGAGTTTTTTTTTTTATAGAATAAGGGTGACAAACGAGCACACAGTCCACCTGATGGTAAGTGGTTGCTGTAGCCCATGGACATCTACATCTATCATCGGTTTCTAATTAAAATGCGCTGTCACCCGTGAAGACTAAGATAGAATACTCGTTTCTAGTAAAAAGGTTCTCTACACTTACCACACGAAACACCATTTCTGTGAGAGCATGGTGCTTCCCCAGTCGAGCCGACTCATTCGTGCTACAACTATACCAGCAATATAGCTGCAGCATGGCTCTACTACGTAAAAACTATGACTTCTCTTTGCCACCATCCCAACTTCTAATGTTGCATGTCTAAAGGCAACCAAAGAATTCCAAATTTCTTGAGTAAAGCTATTATAATTGTTCTTGAGTTGTTAAAATCTGAAAAGTGTTATTTTTCTTAGTGATTCAATAACTCATTGATCAAAAATCTAGTACACTTATGTAGTACACGTAGTGACTAACATACTTAAAATTTGGTATTAAGGTAAATCATTTGGCGTTGTCACCTTTGCAGTCTATCAATAGTCCCCTGCTGCACATAAGTCTTTTCCGAAGATTGCCTCATAAGAAAAAAATCCCGAATGTAATAATAATAATAATAATAATAATAATAACGGGCTAATCTCAGTCAGCCTCTCGGGTCATCTGAGGCGACTGGGACTACGTGGCGGACCGCTCCAGGTTCAAATGCAGAAGGCGGTGCTCCTTGATACTGCCCGCATCGTCCGCCGGTTTCTTTCCGTTTCACCCTAACCCTTGGCCGTTTGGTCTCCCCTGCCGAGGGCTTCCATCTGGTTGGGCTTTTATTTATTTATGTATTTTCGTATTTATTTTATTTTATTGATATTTATGTATATTTATCTTTTCTTTTTCGTTTATAATTACATATTTATACATCCCAACCAGATGAGAAAACTATATAGATACCCCACACATAATAATAACTTTCCCCCTAACCCTCGGCCGTTTGGTCTCCCCTGCCGAGGGCTCCCATCTGGTTGGATCTTATTTATTTATGTAGTTTTTGTATTTATTTTATTTTATTGATATTTATGTACATTTATCTTTTCATTTTAATTTATAATTATATATTTATAGAACCCAACCAGGTGAGAAAATTATATAGATACCCCAAATAATAATAATTAAAGTGCAGCCTCCGTAATTACTTCCTGGCGAGATCGGATGATCCATTCTATAATGACGTTATTTCTAGTGATAAAGGACTTACCCCTCTATCCTTAGCCAACGAGCAATGGCAAGACCCGGCAGTACAGAGCATTTCCGACCGGGAGACCGTATGGAAGGAGAAGGAGCTCCATGGGAGGTACTACAGGGCTTTACATGAGCCTCACGTACATACAGCAGCCTCCCCCAACTGGCTACGTTTCTGTGACCTTTTCGGGGAAACCGAGGGTTTTGTCTGTGCAATACAGGATGAGGTTATTAAGACCAACAACTAACGGAGATACATCCTAAAGGATGGCACTGTCGACGTCTGTCGAGCTTGTCGCCATCCCGGGGAGTCACTTAGGCATGTCATCTCCGGTTGTTCGGCGCTTTCTAACTCTGAGTACTTGCACAGGCACAACCTAGTAGCCAGAATTCTACACCAGGAGCTCGCTCTGAAATACGGTCTCGTGGACCGAAAATTGCCGTAGTACAAGTACTTGCCGGAAGCCGTGCTCGAAAATGACCGCGCCAGGCTCTACTGGGACCGGGCCATCATCACAGACAGGACTATTCTTGCGAATTAGCCTGGTATTGTGCTGATGGACCGGGCACAGTCAAGGATATTTTTGATCGACATTACCATTCCGTATGACGAGAACCTCGTGAAAGCCGAAACAGATAAACGAACAAAATATCTGGACCTGGCTCACAAGGTGATCGACATGTGGGGTGGTATTCCGACCGAAATTATTCCTGTCGTCGTCTCTGCGAATGGGCTAATCCCAGTCAGCCTCTCGGGTCATCTGAGGCGACTGGGACTCCGTGACGGACCGCTCCGGGCTCAAATGCAGAAGGCGGTGCTCCTCGATACCGCCCGCATCGTCCGCCGGTTTCTTTCCCTTTCCCCCTAACCCTCGGCCGTTTGGTCTCCCCTGCCGAGGGCTCCCATCTGGTTGGATCTTACTTATTTATGTAGTTTTTGTATTTATTTTTTTTTATTGATATTTATGTACACTTATCTTTTCATTTTAATTTATAATTATATATTTATAGAACCCAACCAGGTGAGAAAATTATATAGATACCCCAAATAATAATAATAATCATAATAAGGTGATGCCACGCGCTCAAAATGGATGTCGGGGCGGTGGTCGTGGAACCAAGGAACCACTCCTCATTGACGCGGTCATTGGCAAAGTGGTGAAACGCAACCGTCGGAACTTCTCCGCCGCCTGGATAGACTACAGAAAAGCATTCGACTCGGTGCCCCATACATGGCTAAAGAGGGTCCTCGAGCTGTACAAGATTGACTGTACAGTTAGAGACTTCCTCGAGCAGTGTATGGGGCAGTGGAGTACGATCCTCTGTTATCTGGGCGAGCGGATGATGGCTGCGGAGAACCACATAAGGATAAGAAGGGGTATCTTCCAGGGCGATTGAGTCCAATCTGGTACTGCCTCTCTCTGAACCCTCTCAGTACCTTACTGGAGGGCTCCGGGAGAGGATTTCAGCTACGGAAGGGAGGAACAAAAGTGACCCACCTTTTCTATATGGATGACCTCAAGTTATTCGCCTCCAGTCGCTCCCATCTTATGGAATTGCTAAACATCACTTGTGAATTTAGCAATTCTATTGGAATGGAGCTGGGGACGGATAAGTGTGCGGTCCTTCATGTTGAAAGGGGAAGGGTTGCTAACTCTGAGGGCATAGATTTATCTATGTCCGTCAACTTAAAGACCCTTTCCGAGGCTGAAACATACCGATACCTGGGTATGTCACAGAACATCTGTATCGATGAGGCTTGTATGAAACAGTCAGTTTGCGACGTGTTTTATGGACGCTTGACCAAAGTGCTTAACAGCCTTTTGTCCGGTGTGAATAAGACACACGCATATAACGGTTGGGTCATGCCTGTCCTCATATATACCTTTGGCATACTCAGGTGGACTCAGACCGAACTTAACGCCCTGGATAGAAAAGTCCGCACTACCATGACGTCCCGTAGGATGCATCATCCGAGATCGTCGGTAATGAGGCTGTACTTGCCGCGAAAGCATGGTGGGCGTGGTTTTCTGAGCGCGCTCACCATGCATAATCGCGAAGTGTGCAGCCTCCGTGATTACTTCCTGGCGAGATTGGATGATGATTTCTAGTGATAAAGGGCTTACCCCTCTATCCTTAGCCCACGAGCAATGGCAGGACCCAGCAGTGCTTAGCATTTCCGACCGGGAGACCGTATGGAAGGAGAAGGAGCTCCACGGGAGGTACTACAGGGCTCTTCACGAGCCCTTCGTAGATACAGTCGCCTCCCTCAACTGGCTACGTTTCGGTGACCTCTTCGGGGAAACCGAGGGGTTTGTCTGTGCAATACAGGATCAGGTTATTAAGACCAACAACTATCGGAGATACATCCTAAAGGATGGCACCGTCGACGTCTGTCGAGCTTGTCGCCATCCCGGTGAGTCACTTAGGCATGTCATCTCCGGTTGTTCGGCGCTTTCTAACTCTGAGTACTTGCACAGGCACAACCTAGTAGCCAGAATTCTACACCAGGAGCTCGCTCTGAAATACGGTCTCGTAGACCGGAAATTGCCGTATTACAAGTACTTGCCGGAAGCCGTGCTCGAAAATGACCGCGCCAGGCTCTACTGGGACCGGGCCATCATCACAGACAGGACTATTCTTGCGAATAAGCCTGATATTGTGCTGATGGACCGGGCACAGTCAAGGATATTTTTGGTCGATATTACCATCCCGTATGACCAGAACCTCGTGAAAGCCGAAACAGATAAGCAATCAAAATATCTGGACCTGGCTCACGAGGTGACCGACATGTGGGGTGGTCTGCCGACCGAAATTATTTCTGTGGTCGTCTCTGCGAATGGGCTAATCCCAGTTAGGCTCTCTGGTTACCTGAGGCGACTGGGACTCCGTGACGGACCGCTCCGGGCTCAAATGCAGAAGGCGGTGCTCCTTGATACTGCCCGCATCGTCCGCCGGTTTCTTTCCCTTTCCCCCCTAACCCTTGGCCGTTTGGTCTCCCCTGCCGAGGGCTTCCATTTGGTTGGGCTTTTATTTATTTATGTATTTTTGTATTTATTTTATTTTATTGTTATATATGTATATTTATCTTTTCATTTTCGTTTATAATTATATATTTATACATCCCAACCAGATGAGAAAACTATATAGATTCCCCACATAATAATAATAATCCAGACCGAATTTCGGCCACGGCGGCCTGCCTCAATGGAGGCTAGCCAACGGTACAGGGCAGGATTACAGTGCCCGAGTGTATGCTCAAGCACAGGTGCACTCTCTATTCCCTCACTCTCATGATCCGTTAGGACGGTAAACCTACACGACCGGAGAGAGATCAGGCGCAGGACCAATGGCTTTACGTGTTTTCCGTGGCACGGGGTTGAGACACCGCCAACTTCCTGACTCCGGGCAGCTACGGAGAATTTCTTGACGGAAAAACTCAGTAATTGATTTTTTGGCCTGATCCGGGATTCGGACCCAGGACCTCATGATCAGCAGTCACACTACTATAACCGCTAGACCAACGATGCAGTCAAAACAGTGTCACAGTTGTAACGTTGGGTAGGCAACTGCAATTTTTCATTATTTTTAATATCCCTCTGCCGGCTCTCACGACACCTACGGGATTATTTGGGGTCCGGATGTGGAATTCTCTTAGGCCACCGCTACTCGTCTACTAGTATGATTAAAAAAAAAGATTTTTATTTCAGATCGGCACTATAGGAGGTAACCTGGCTATGAAAAATGCACATCACGAATTCCCTTCCGATATATTTGTACTGTTGACCACCGTGCAGGGTGTAGTCACGATCGGTAATAATTTTTTTTCACACCAAAATTAACATCAAGGTATATAAGAGTAACGGACATATGCAAACGCACAAATATAATGATCGAGTTTCACCAAGTGACAACAATAGCAAGTGTAAAATATGCACGAAAGGTTATTTTGGGTTATTAAGGTTATTTGGCCGTTTTAAGTTTTCGCTGAAAACGGGTCCTTTTGATAAGACGAAACTTTATTGTTTGATTAATAAAATCTCTCGACCGAATTTCGGTCACGGCGACCTGTTTTAGTCCCAAGGGAGGCTAGCTATCTACGCAGGAAATAATTATAGTGTCCGAGTGAATGCCCAAGCACGGATGCACTCCCATAGTCCGATGGCACGGTAACCCGACACCACCGGAGAGAGATCGTGCTTTCTGAGGCATTATTGTGAAAAAAGGAGTTGAGGCAATGCCGTCAACTCATGATGACTCCGGCTGCTACTGGGAATTTCTTGACATAAAAACCCAATAACAGATTTTAGCCCGACTCAGGTTTCGAATCCGGGATATGATCAGGCAAGTTAGACCTTTCACTGTCCCCGTGCATTACATATAACGCATTGCTATTGTCTTACTATTGTGTCTGTAAATCGACAGTGAATGTGCTAAGTTTGATTATGTAGTTAGTTGACTTTCTTTTATAACATCTAGACAAGGAAAGTAGGATGATGATGTCTCTAATTATGTTTGTTTTGTCTTATTTATAGTGAACAGCAATCTTGAGAAAACTGAAGTAAATATGGAGGATTTCTTGAAGTTAGACCTTCGCAATAAATTGATATTGGATGTCAAATTACCGCCGCTGTCCTCTAGCAATATAATTCGGACGTACAAGGTATTCTTCAAGTTTAAAGTTGGGATAGGTATGTTAAGGCCTAAAATTAGAGCCGGAGGTAAAATTTTTGGAAATATAAAATTGTTGATTTTTAGGGTCAAGTTCTTAGTTCCTTGTGGACACAAAGCACACAGTCCACCTGATGGTAAGTGAATGCTGCGGTCCAAAGACAACTGTCTTCATTTATCAAACAAAATACATATGCGTGGTCGCCCCGGACGACATGCGTCTTACCAATAAAGGGCCGTTCTTTAATGACGTAAGGATGATTTCGGCGATATTTTACCTCTCCCCTACCCCCATGTAAGGGTACGTAAGATTTCTCGAACCGCCCTCCCTCTTCTTACGTAAGATTCTATCTGTTGAATAAATTCTATCTGTTAAATAATTTTATCGCGTTTGTTTCACCAACTTATAAGCTGGCACAAAACTTGGCAAAAATACGGTCACCATTGAGAGGACATACCAGATCACACACAAAGGATTCATACCATTTTGTTAGTGAGATAAAAGACCTACATCTCGCTGACAATGAAACTATGGTCAGTTTTGAAGTTCAGTCACTATTCACATGCCTACCTATTGAAGACTGCATCTCAATTGTGACTAGGAAGCTAGAAGATAATAACATGCCTGCTGAATATGCAGTATTACTCAAACGCTGCCTCACATCTGGCTATCTATTGTGGAAGGAAGAGTTCTACAAGCAAGTAGATGGTGTGGCGATGGGCTCACCCTCATCTCCCATAGTCGCCGACATATTCATGGAGGACTTCGAGGAGAAAGCCCTTCTTACTGCTCCTGTCAATCCAAGATTCTACAAGCGGTACGTAGACGACACTTTCACAATTTTACCATCTGACAAAGTAACTGCATTTTTAGACCACCTTAACTCTATAAACTCTAAAATACAATTTACAATAGAGTTAGAGGCAAATAATTCTTTAGCTTTCCTAGATGTTTTAGTCATTCGAAATTCTAATAACACTATTGGTCACACTGTGTATAATCTCACCATCATCCTTCACAGCTAGGTACCGTGGGTAAATCTTTGTTTCAGAGAGCACGAGGGATCTGTGACAGAAAACATCAGGCCGCCGAGCTTCAGCACGTCAAGCAAGTATTGCAAGACAAGCTTCGGGTCCCGCGCATACGTCACAGTGACCGAGTGAAGCCGTCCACAGTCGAGCGTGTACCTGCTGTACTACCATGTGTCAGAGGAGTCACAGACAAGGTTGGCTACATCTTGAAGCGAGCTTCCATTAAACATACTACAAGCCGCCGAAGAAGATTGGTCAATTTTTACCATCCGTCAAGTGTAATATCCCTCTACAAGATGCAGGAGTGTACAAGTTAGATTGTGAATGTGGTATCTCTTATATAGCTCAAACAAAAAGATCGATAAAAATCCGCGTAAAAGAACATATAGCTGACGTGAAGCACCGACGCTCCGGGAAGTCTGCAGTCTGTGAACATATTCAAGATCGTCCCCAAATTTACATCAGATTTGATAAACCACAAGTCCTCGCAAAAGAAAAACGATTCCTACCCAGGATGATACGTGAGGCTATTGAAATTAAAAAACATCCTAATTTCATTAGAGAAGATGGATGGATGCTACCATCTGCTTGGGATCCTATAATTAACAAAATTAAACCCAAACCCAAGCATACCACTGCAAGACTTCAAAATACTGTAAGCTCGTTTTGCGTAAATCGGACCGAAAAATTAATATTAAAAAACTGAAGGTAACCGGGCTAACTATGATATTGGGACGTCAAACATCTCAGTCCCCTCCCCCTGACCATGGGTGCTGTAAAGCGCCCGAAACGTCGGGATTTAAAATAAGTAAAATCAGTTAAATAATCGCGATAAAATCCGTAAATTTAGTTACATTCAATGTGTAGTGTTCGCGGAAATTTAAGAAATCATTATAAGATTCTATCTGGTTTTTCAGAATAACAAAATGTTAGAAAAGAATCAGTTACACTGAGTTACACTAATACTCACAGTTTGATGTAAATCAAAGATTTTTATTTTTTAACAGATAATTTAGTTTATATGTTGCCAGGTCGAGTCGTCGTAGGTGGCAACCGAACCTCCACCGGAGATTCTTAGCACCCCCTGCCCCGCCGTTACCATGGTCGCCACCGTAGTCAGGAATAGCGGGGCCGCCGGGGACTGGGGGCCGTCTGTTTGTGTATTTATTCATTGGGGGGTTATTTGCCATAGTTGCCACGCTTGGCGAGCGGGTTGGCAACCGCAGTTTTTTATTACGTCACAGTTGTCATCAGGAAGACGCTGCTGCCCATCTCCTGCCTGTCTCCCTCTGTCGCCTCTTACGACACCCACGGGAAGATATGGGGTAGTGGATATTCTTAACCGCCACTACACGGCAACATATAACGCACGCACCCTGAGGACTGACGAGAAGATACTGGAGCTGGAAGAAGAGGTAGACAAGTTGCGCTGGCATATTATTGGATTATCCGAGGTCCGAAGAGAGGGGGGAGGACACGGCAATCCTCGAGTCCGGCAACTTGTTCTATCACCGGGAGGGCGACCATCTGTCCCAAGGAGGTGTCGGATTTATCGTCCACAAATCTCTCGTCAACAACGTTGTAAAGATTGGGAGTGTGTCGACGAGGGTCGCGTACCTGATACTCAGAATCACCAAACGGTATTCGCTGAAGGTCATTCAGGTTTACGCACCAACCTCGGCACATCCCGATGAGGAGGTGGAGGAAATGTATGAGGATATTTCCAGAGCCATACATTCCTCCAAAACCTACTACACGGTGTTGATGGGAGACTTCAACGCAAAACTGGGCACAAGAGCAAGCGGTGAGCTGAAGGTAGGGAAATTTGGAGTAGGGCCACGGACCCGAAGGGGCCAGCAGCTGGCCGACTTTATGGAGAAAGAGGGACTCTTTATGATGAACTCTTTCTTCCAGAAGCGGCCCCACAGGAAGTGGACCTGGTCGAGCCCCGACGGTTCGACAAAAAATGAGATTGACTTCATTATGACGACCAGACGCCAACTGTTCAGTGATGTCTCAGTGATCGCAAGGGTGAAAACTGGCAGCGATCACCGAATGGTTAGAGGCACACTGAACCTAAACGTTAAGTTGGAGAGGTCTCGTCTAATGAAGTCAACGCTCCGTCCCCCCTCGTGCTCTAATCCAGAATCCCGAAACCTTTCAGCTCGAGTTACGTAACCGCTTCCAGTGCCTAGAAGATTGCAATGCAGTGGACGATATGAACGACAAGCTCGTGGAAACTGTCCATGCGGTCGGAGCTAAGTTCTGCAAGACCCGCCGCAGAAGAACACAAAAACTCTCCGATCACACTCTTAATCTCATGGCTGTTAGACGGGAGATGAGGCTGCAATTGTCAACAGATTTGACAGCATACAGGCAACTGAACAGACAGATCTCCAAATGCATACGGCGAGACTTACGCAACTTTAATACTTCTCGTATTAAAGAAGCGATCGAGCGGAACCAGGGCTCCAAAGTCTTTGCCAGAGATCTGTCTGCCAGAAAGAGCCAACTGTCAAGGCTGAAGACTGAGTGTGGCAACATCGTTTCCGGGACACCTGAGATTTTGAGTGAGATTGAGAGGTTCTATGGGCAGCTGTACACATCATCGTTGGAGCCACACGCAAGTGTGAGTAACGATCCAAGAGCAAGTCTTATCCGACACTATTCCGATGATATCCCGGACGTCAGTCTAAGCGAGATTAGAATGGCTCTCCAGCACCTTAAAAACGGCAGGGCCCCAGGCGAGGATGGAATTACAGCGGAGCTTCTGAAAGCGGGTGGAACACCGGTACTTGAAGTCCTTCAGAAGCTCTTCAATTCCGTCCTCCATGGTGGCACTACTCCAGAGGCGTGGAGCAGAAGTGCGGTGGTCTTGTTCTTTAAGAAAGGCGACAACGCTCTCTTAAAGAACTACAGACCGATTTCCCTTCTGAGCCGCGTCTACGTGCTGTTTTCGAGAGTCATTACGAATCGTCTCGCACGCAGACTTGACGACTTCCAGCCTCCCGAACAAGCCGGTTTCCGAAAAGGCTTCAGTACCATAGACCACATACATACCCTGCGGCAGATTGTACAGAAGACTGAAGAGTACAATCTGCCACTTTGCCTGGCGTATGTGGACTATGAGAAAGCCTTTGATTCCGTCGAAATTTGGGCGGTGCTACAGTCCCTTCAGCGGTGCCAAGTTGACTGTCGGTATATCGAAGTGCTGAAGTGTTTGTACAGTAGGGCTACGATGGCTATCCGAGTACAGAACCAGAGCTCGAAACCTATCCAACTGCAGAGAGGTGTAAGACAGGGTGACGTTATATCCCCGAAACTCTTCACCGCTGCATTGGAAGACGTTTTCAAGCTACTGGACTGGAAAGGATACGGTATTGACATCAATGGCGAGTACATCACTCACCTTCGATTTGCCGACGATATAGTCCTTATGGCAGAATCGCTGGAGGACTTAAGCACTATGCTCAATGACCTCAATAGTGCCTCCCAACGGATAGGTCTTAAGATGAACATGGACAAAACAAAGATCATGTTCAATGTCCATGTCACACCTATGCCGGTAGTTGTTGGGAGCACTATGCTCGAAGTTGTTGACGAATACGTTTACCTGGGACAAATAGTCCGACTAGGTAAGTCCAACTTCGACCGAGAGGTCAATCGACGGATTCAACTCGGCTGGGCAGCGTTCGGGAAATTACGGCATATCTTTTCGTCAGGTATACCTCAATCTCTAAAAACTAGATTGTACAACCAGTGCGTGTTGCCAGTGATGACTTACGGATCTGAGATGTGGTCCTTCACTGCTGGCCGTATGAGGACGCTTAAGGTCGCTCAGCGAGCTATGGAGAGGGCTATGCTCGGAGTTTCTCTGCGTGATAGACTCAGAAATGAGGATATCCGCAGTAAAACCAGAGTGACCGACATAGCCCAACGGATTAGTAAGCTGAAGTGGCAATGGGCCGGCCATATAGCTCGAAGAACCGATAACCGATGGGGAAGAAAGGTTCTCGAGTGGCAGCCTCGTACCGGTAGGCGTAGTGTAGGGCGACCCCCCACTAGATGGAGTGACGACCTGGTAAGACATGCAGGAAGTCGATGGATGCAGGTGGCTCAGGACCGTGCTTTGTGGCATTACTTGGGGGAGGCCTATGTTCAGCAGTGGACTTGTGAAGGGCTGTAATGATGATGATGATGAATTTAGTTTAAATTAAAAATATTAATTAATTTGCAACCTTCCGCTAACTAAATACAATGATGTGTCTTACCTGGATTGAAGAGCAGGTCCGTAGAAGGACCACGCTCTCACAGAATACCAGCGTGAAATAGTAGCTTAATGCTGCTGTATTTCGTATGGTGAGTGTAGAGAACCGGAGACCCTTTTTACTGGAAACGAGGCATTCCTTCTCAGTCCTCACGGGTGACAACGCATCTGCATTTTGATTTTTAATGGAGGATAGATGTAGATGTCTATGGGCCGCAGCAACCACTTACCATCAGGTGGACGGTGTGCTCGTTTGTCACCCTATTCTATAAAAAAAAGAGCACCTCCCGCCCTCCCTCAATTGCATGCATTAACTCCGTCACCACTAGTCCCAGCACCACTACTCCCTACACCACCACTCCCGGCACCACTACTTCCAACACCACTATTCCAGGTAAGACACACCATCGACGATAATACGACACGTTTTTCGTCCTCACCTAGGCATCCTCAGGTGATGTATACTCTACGGCGGCGTAAAGTCTACATCACCTGAGGATGCCTTGTGTAGATGCTCTTCCTCGGGAGGAGCTCTTCAATCCAGGTAAGACACATCATTGTATTTAGTTAGCGGAAGGTTGCACAGTAATTAATATTTTTATTATAATGGATTTCCGCAAAGTAACGCCTTATTCTATCAATTAGTTTAAATTCTTTTATTGCTACCATATATTGATTACCATTATATTTTTTATAGTATAAGGGTGATAAACGTGCACACAGTTCACTTGATGGTAAGTGGATGCTGTGGTCTACAGACATCTACTTCTATCCTCGATTTATTTATTTTTATTTATTTTATTGAATAAGGTACACAAACAGACAGTAGTTATATAAAGGTCTAAAATTAAAAGTATATTTGTGTCGATCTAAACTACAATCCAAAAAAGTGTAAACGGCATAATAATATAACTGCAGTTATAATCTTAGTCTTAGTAAAAATAAAACAGATAACAAATACATTAAATGTTAAGAGAAACACGTAAATTTCTTTTAAATCTAACCAGGCTACTATCGAATATATCTAGATGTACGTTACTACGCTTAATCTCGCCGTAATCACGGCACATTTTAACAACAGGGTTGAAAAAGGAAGTGTTATTCTTGTGTACGTCTAACCTGAAAATTCTTTGAACACGTTGTCGTCGTAACAGAATTGAAGTTAATTAGCCTTAGTAGCTCTGGGCACTCTATACGAGAATGCACAATCGGCAAATTGTCTCCTCAAAGATAATCGATATCCTCAATTACAAATCAAAATGCAGATGCGTTGTCACCCGTGAAGATTAAGATGAAATGCCTCGTTTCCAGTAAAAAGGGTCTCCGATTCTCTATACTCACCATACAAAACACAGCAGTATTAAGCTGCTATTTTACGCTGGTATTCTGTGAGATCGTGGTCCTTCCCCGGGCGGCCCGACCCATTCGTACTACAAGCATTATATACTCGTAGCTGCAGTGTGGCTCTACCACGTATATATAGCTGCAGCGTGGCTTCACCACGTATAAAATGTTTATATTTAGCTAAAGTATGCAATACAAGGATCTGGGCTCCGAATATATTTTTGTCCCTTTCGGTGTCGAGACCCTAGGTCCGTGGGGTCCTGGCGCTATAAGCCTTTTTAAAGAAATAGCAAAAAGGTTCATCTACGTCACAGGAGACCGAAGAGCTGGCAGCTACCTCGGACAAAGAATTAGTCTAGCTATTCAACGGGGAAACGCTGCCAGTACCTTCGGAACCTTGCCTAAAGGACCTACTTTTTAATAATATATTTTAGTTATTATAATGTATATTTTTAAGGTTTTTAGTATTAGATTTAGAATTTAGAATGTTGTTTGTATTATGTTATGTAATATTTTAGACAACTAGTTGAGATAGCATGTAGTCTTTGAAACATCATTATTATAATTAAAAGAACGATTAAAAATAATTGTTGCTTGAAATAATGATTTCATAATTTTACAAATTTTATCGAATATAATTTTAATTTTTTTAACCTTCGAGAAAACCATTCGGCATCTGAAATTGAACTAGATTTCTAATATTAAATTTCAACTTACAAAATAATACGTAAGAATGGGTTTTACCGCTCTCACCATAAGAAAAGGGCACGTAGAGATTTTTTAATCACCCCTCCCTCTCGGGATCCTTACTTAATTAATGAATGGCCCCTAAGTAGTAAATAAAAATCAAATACTTAGATCCCCTCATGTACCTCGATAATACAATGTATTGTAATTTTCAAAAAACGCTATAAAATCCAAAACTGTAAGCTTCAAACAATCTACTAATATCACCACTAATCTATTAGCAATTTTTAATTATATTTATAAATTAGAGAACATCATGTTTAGTTGAGTTTGAATGTGTTTATAGATAATGCCGCGAGCCCAAAACGCCCACGCGATTGTCAACGCTGGATTCCTATTGCATCTGAACTCCTCGAAGAAGGTGACGTCATCTTGCATCGTTTTCGGCAACATAGGCCCAGACTTCATTAGAGCGAAAGAGACAGAGAAGCTTCTGTTGGGACAGGACCTGTACAGCGACAAGACGTTACAACAAGCATTGGCTACACTGAATAAGGAAATTGTGCCCGTAGACATGCCACCTGAGCCGTCACCATATTGTAGAAAAATGATTGCTCTAGGATTGTTTTATAAGGTACTTATTCAATAAGAGGTTGGGTTTGGGTCTTCGATCTGCAAACACTTCCTTCTTCCTTGCCATAACTTACCATTTGTGGACCTATTTGCAAGATCGTTGTGTCCTTTGAAACTAGAAACCGATAAGATTAGAGATTTTTAAAAGCATTATTAGAATTATGTGTACGACTCGATTGAAATTGACCTGGCATCGATACAATCATTCGTTATCAAAATAATAATATTATTAATACCATATTATGCTAAATAGAAAAGTTCATTACAAAAACTGTATAAAAAGGGTTATTATGATATAAATGAATACATGGTTGTTAATAACCCCTGGGAATGAGGTGGTCGCTTCCAAGCTGTTTATAAAATAAATTTTGTAAATATTCTGTGACCCTTGACAAAGTCCCGCTGGGTTTCTTGCTGGTTCTTCTCAGGACAGAGTTTTGTTCGAACCAGTGGTAACGTAAAATATTGACTTTCAATAAGAATTACTTATAATCTATATTGAATAAAAAATTATTTTATTTTATTTTATTTTACATGCGTTCAGTACAATATAAAACCGTACACACACATCCGTACACATTTGCAAACGTACGCATACACACGCATGCACGAGCAAGCAGTTTTGCACGCTCGTCGCATGCACGCACTCTCGCAAACAGTATCCAACAAAAACTGTAGGCTCATAACCAGGCTAAAACTACGTAATTCTTGAAAATTATATGAGAAGTGTTGGCAACTTTATTACTGGCAACACCGGTCCGCCCCTCTTCGAACGCAACCTAAGAGAAGTGGGAAGGAAAATGTTATAAAATAAGGTGCATCGCGATTATAAGAGGTTCTGTTCTGATAACACGCGTCGAGTTAGTCTCAGTTTAATTGTTGTGAATACAAAAAAACTGTAATATGAAGTGATCTGTACAAATATTAATTGAATAAATAGGTTGTGTCGTCAGTACATATTATTTACGTTAAAATTCTTTCTTTGTGTTAACATCAGAAGTGGGATCATAACTATAGTTCACGATGGGTAAACGCAGTAAAGGTACTAAAAATTCAAAGCGTAAGCAAACACGTGTCTCAAGACCGACTAGCGCGGGTACTACTACATCAAGTAGCACAATCAGTGCGCAGACTCCATCACCTCAACCAAAGAGAAAGGTATCCCATAGAAATGCCGTTGCAACTGTACGTACGAACTATGCTTTTATTTTGAACAACATTATTCCTGAATTCGATCCATTGGTTGATAACATAACCTCTTGGCTCAGCGTTATTCAATATTATGCAAATACTTTTACATGGTCCGACAAAATGATACGTTATCAAGCTCTGAATAAGCTTAAGGGATCGGCTGAAGTCTGGTATGACTCTTTAATAATGCAATATAATATACATATACATGGCCGTAATTATAAAGCGAAGGTTTTAAAGTCGACCGGAACGTTTGTGCGAGAGACCTCTCAAAAATCATTAGTTCAAAATATGCCAATTAAGTCGACAGCACCGGTAGTATTAGCATTAGAGCGGCCTAACAACCAAAATTGAAGATTCGGAACAATTGCACATTCATAGGCCTATGAAATGTTTTGTGTGTGGTGGCAACCACAAAAGAAGTCAATGTAACACAATGTAAATGCGATTATTGCGGCAGACGGGGTCATTTACCCGTGAATCTGTATGCTACCATAAGAAAAATTTGCTTAAACCTGAAAGACAAGAAGTGAAATTAATTTCGTCTATAGATACACGAAAAAAATTATAAAGAGGGTATATATACATAATTTTTATCACAATGGGTGCGTTTGGCAGAAAAAAGCGCTACGTTGTAAGCAAAATGGCGATCGTAAGCGGTAAGCGCTGCCAAATCGTAAGTAGCTATTTTCCTCCAGGACACGATGTTAGTTTTAACCGGGGGAATCTAACCTAATTTAAATATATGTTTGTAAAGTATTCATATTAAAAACTTACCAATCATGAGTTTTTAATAGCATGTATATGTTTATTCATGTCATTATATTACTTAAAACTAATATTGCACAAAACAACTTATAAACTCTACTTCAAAACAAACAAATTAAATAAGCAAAATGGCGGATTGTGTCAGCGCTACTGAAGTAGCAATCGTGTCCTGGCCGAAAACTATTTTAGCGCTTATAAGCGCTTGCTAGCGCTTTTTTCTGCCAAACGCACCCAATGCGTTTATTGATACCGGAAGTAGTTGTTCATTAATATCGAAGGAATTAATCAAACAAAATTCTTTAGACACTATATTACTAGACACCTATTTTGTTAGAGGGGTTTACGCAGCAGTGTTCACAATTCGTAACAAGGAAGATAAATATGCATTTGAAAGTAGATTCAGTGTGCGTATATGATGTAGATTTTTATGTCATTGACGGTTTAGCCGGGTGTGATATTTTAATTGGTAGAAACGTATTGGAACATCCCAATATCGTGTACTTTCGCATAGGCAGCATGTTTCAATTTAGTAAGGTGAACTCGGGAAAAGAAATTTGTCAAACGGGTGACCACATCGGAACCAGTTCAATGTAGACCCTAACGATTCTCACATTCTGAACACAAAAACTATGAACTTTTAGGTGGTAAAGTATACAGAAGGACATCCCAAGGTCGACGTTGGGTAGTACCAAAAAGATATATATGGCAAATCATTAAATGCAATCACGATGATTTAGGTCATTTTGCTCTCTATAAAATAATTGAACGTATATAAAAAATTGTATTAGTTGTATATATTATAAAAACACAGGTGGTCTCTAGGAGGGGGAACTATTATCATTGCCGAAGTATGCACAACCATTTCATACACTGTACTTAGACTATTTAGGTCCATTTGTAAAAACATGTAATAAAAATAAATATTTTTTAACTATCGTAGATGCCTTCACAAAATTCTTTTTTATACCTGCAGTACGAAGTACCAAATCTTCAGCCGTAATAAAAGAACTAGAGATAATTTCAAAAATGTTCGGCAACCCTAAAAGAATTATATCAGATGCAGGAACATGCTTTACGTCGTATGGCTTCAAACAATACTGTTTCAATAAAAATATACGTTTGCAAACTATGGCGACGGGCATGCCCCGTTCTAACGGTCAGGTTGAGCGGTTTAATAAGACTATTTTGGAATATTTGAAAACTATGGGAGCTCAATCAACTGAGGATAGATGGGATCAGCACATTAAGGAATTACAGCAAGGCTTAAATAGTACCATGCATAAAACCATTAGGGCAGTTCCTAGCAAAGTTTTCCTCGGGTAAAGACTACGTACAGATAGTGATATGTTAGCTGCGGAACCTGATGGTGTGCGTAACGTTGATGTGACAGAGTTTCGAAAGAAGTTGATAAAAATATAAGTAATTCTGAGTCTCAAAAGGAAAGGTTCCATAACATACATATACATAAACACTCACGCCTGTCACCCAGAGAGGTAGGCAGAGACTACGGACTTTCATTTGGCACGATCCTGACGCACCTCTTTCGCCTCCTTTACATCCATATATCTACGCATACATGCTCGTCGGTTAAGGGTACTTCTAACGTGGCCCTTTTCAAAATATCGCCAATTTGGTCGATAAACTTTTTCTAGAGCGTCCGTTCCCGACTCGGCCGTTCACATCTGCCATATAAATTTGCTTTGTCACTCTTTCCTCATTCATTCTTTCTACATGACCAAACCACCGAAGCATTCCTTTCTTAATCCTGGTCACAACATCATCTTGCATACCACATTTATCTCTTATCATGCAATTTCTCACCCTGTCATTCAGATTCAACCCTAGCATACTCCTTAAAGACCGCATTTCTACAGCATTTATTCTACTTTCGTGCTTCTTCTGCCACACCCAGCTTTCACTACCATAGATTAAAGTAGGGACTAACACAGCATTATGAATTACCATACGTGCCTTTTTTGACACATTCTGGTTCTTCATAATAGAGTGTAGTGCCCCATTCCCTCTATTCCCTGCATTTACTCGTCGTTATATATCCCTATCATATCTACCATCCCTGCTAAATACACATCCCAAATACACAAACTCATCCACTTGCTCAATTAACTCTCCTTCTATTCTTATTTCACATACCGTTTTGCTTTCTTCTCTTTCAAAAACCATCACTTTCGTCTTACTTGCGTTCACTTTCATTCCCCTTTCTTTTAATTCCCAGTTCATTAATGTAACCATCATTTGCAACTCTGCCGCCGATGACGCAAATATGACTTGATCATCGGCATACAAAAGGCATTTGACGGTTAACTCGCCCATTCTTAACCCACATTCTTCATCTTTCAAAGTTTGCAAACACCTGTCCATAAATAGGTTGAACAGCCAAGGGGAAGCTACACAGCCCTGTCTGACACCTTTTTGGATGCCAAACCAGTCCGAGTAGACCCCATTGATCCTGACACAAGCACTAGAGTCCCTATAAAGAGACCTTAATGCCTGTATCAAACCAGCGCTCAACCCATATGAGTTCAGTGTTTGCCATAACACATTCCTGTCCACTCTGTCATAAGCCTTTTCCAAGTCCATGAACGCACAAAAAACTTTCTGGTTTTTGGCCAAAAACTTCTCCGCAATCATGCGCATGGAAAAGACTTGATCTGTACACCCTATTCCCTTTCTAAAACCCGCTTGCACATCCCAAATTTTTCCATCAGTTTCTTTCATAACTCTTTTAATTAACACCTTAGCATACAGTTTACCCACAATACTAAGCAAGCTGATACCACGGTAGTTTTTGCAGTCCTGCTGTGACCCTTTTCCTTTATATATTGGTACTATAACTGATTTACACCAGTCATCCGGTACCCGTTTTAATTCCCAACATAAATTAAACAAGGTGTACAGCAGGCCTGCCACCACTCCCTCTCCAGCCCTTAGCATCTCGAGTGATACTCTATCATATCCAGCTGCCTTACCTGCTTTCATGCTTTTCATTGCTTTCATTATTTCATCTAAACTTATCTCCATACCCCTTTCCACTTCTTTCGGAATTTCTAGTTCATTTAATTCAGACGACTCTTCACTCATAAACACGCTTTCAAAGTATTCCTTCCATCTGTTTAAATTCGAAGCTTCATCATTCAGAATACATCCATTCTCGTCTCTTATAGCATTCATTATAGGCTGTTTTGTATTTCCCCTGGCAGTTCCTACGAGTTTCCAGAACATTTTTATGTTAGCCTGGAAATTATCAGATATCCTTCTATTATTCTTATCCGTTCTTTCTTTCTTTTTCCTTTTAACAACTTCTTTTACTCTCTTATTTAGACGTCTAAATTCTGCCTTTTTTCTTTCAATCTCATCATTCATACCAGAAGAATTACCAGCTTTGGTTGCTAGTAAATCTAACCATGCTTTCTTCTTTGATTCAACTTCCACCCGTACCTCATCATCCCACCACAACGTATTACTTTTCGTTTCATTTGTTCTCTTACTTACACCACATACTTCAGTGGCGGCATCTACCAAACCTTTCTTAATATTGTCCCACACAGTATTCAAGTCTAAATCATTCATACACAACTCATTCAAACATCTAATACTTCCTCTCAGTCTACATTTATACTTCTCTTTCACATCTTCATCTTGTAACTTCTCTATTCTTATACGCTGTAACGCAATGGTAGACACAGATGTCCGATGCCGCCAACGCTTGAAAATACCATTAATTCGACATAAGACCAAGTAATGATCCGTCCCTACGTTGGACCCCCGGTAAACCCTTGTATCTACGACTGCGTTCCTCATTCTTTCATCCACAATTACGAAATCTATCATGCTTCTATCATCACCTCTTTCCCATGTATACATGTGAATCTTCTTATGACGAAAAAAAGTATTCGTCACAAAAAGATTCTTTTCCACACATACGGTGAGGAGGTCTTCACCATTCTCATTTATACTTTCATCACCAAACATTCCCAATATCCTTTCATAACCAGACCTCTTCACCCCAACCCTTCCATTAAAGTCTTCTAACATAATAATATTTTCATTTAAATTTAAAGGTTCCATAAGTTTAGGAAAAAGGCTAAAAAGAAGATACAAAGTCAGAGTAACCAAGGGCAAAGTAGACAACTTTTACCCATATTTAAAGGGTCCATTTAAAATGAAAAAAGTTCTGAGTCATGATAGATATGAGGTGATGGAGGTAAAAGGAAGTGAAAGGTCTCCTAAACCCTATACTGGCGTTGCAGCCGCCGAAAATATAAAGCCTTGGATAAACATTGCAGAACTGAACTGTGATTGATCTTATACCGAATATATACCATATAGATATCGAGATGATAAGATATTTAGGCAGTTCAGTACGTTTAAGCAAGATGAAATGCCTTATTAAACGTTAGTGGAATGAACTTGATACATTTAAGTGACTAAAGACTAAAGGTCCTTTAAATGCAAGTGATTCCGGCAGACAACTGGAATGAACGTGGTACATTTTAGTGAGAATAAATGTCCTTTAAATACAAGTGATTCCTGCAGACAACTGGAATGAACTTGGTACATTTTAGTGAGACTAAATGTCCTTTAAATGCAAGTGATTCCGGCAGACAACTGGAATGAACTTGGTACATTTAAGTGAGACCAAATGTCTTTTAAATGCAAGTGATTCCGGCAGCCGACGAACCTGGTATCTTAGGTGTGACAAGCTCCTTTAAGTGCAGGTAGTCTTGAAATTGCTCTCGAGTTTATGTAAATAAAAAATGTGTAACTTGATTGTAAACTTTGATTATTAACTTACGTCATGATCATTTTATAACAAAAAAATGGCCATTGACCGCTTTATAATATTTATTTATCAGAAACAGTTTATTTCTAATCAATTTGTGTCATTTCAGTATTTTAAATAGATTCGTGAAGTTCCTGGAACAGGAACCATGCAGGATGGCAGTGTTGGCAACTTTATTACTGGCAACACCGATCCGCCCCTCTTCGAACGCAACCTATAAAGTGGGAATTATTTTATAACATTTCCCATGTTATAAAATAGGGTGCATCGCGATTATAAGAGGTTCTGTTGACACGCGTCGAATTAGTCTCAGTGTAATTAAGTGTCGTGAATACAAAAAACTGTAATATGAAGTGATCTGTATAAATATTAATTGAATAAATAGATTGTGTCGTCAGTACATATTATTAACGTTAAAATTCTTTCTTTGTGTTAGCAGAAGTATTTCTAAATTTCTAGGGAATCACATTAAATCCACCAATCCGCACTAGATTTTTTTAATTATTTTTATTAACCCAAATTAGCACCATTCTTGAATCTTCTCTCCTTTATTAAATGTCCAGCTGTGTGACTTTAGTAGCAGTAATTTATTCTTTGACATGATTTTTTACCTTAATTGTATTGATTTTCAGGCCATTTTATCGCAGTGTCCGTCTGTAAACCCCCGATACAAATCCGGGGGCAGTATACTCGAGCGTCTGTTGTCCAGCGGAACGCAAACTTTCGACACTGACAAGTCACTCTGGCCTTTGAACCAGCCTGTTCCGAAGCTAGAGGCGTTAACTCAGGTATATTAGTTTGTTTTTAGACATGGAAAATTTTTCATATAAAATATGCGACCAATCATATTATTAAACGTACTGTGTCAATTTTCAAAAATATTATGTAAACTTAAGAGCAAATGTCTAAATATCTATATATAAATATATTGCCTTGATAACCTGGTAAGACATGTAGGAAGTCGATGGATGTAGGTGGCTTACGACCATATTTCGTGGCATTCCATAAGGAAGGCGTGATGAAGATGATAATGATGATTGTATGAAGATTTGAGGATAATAGGACAATGAATATAAATCAGCCTTAAGAGCATTTAAAAATACTAGTGATCACCTAGTCGTCAAAATAAACAAGTGATCGAACTAAATTTATAAAATTTTAGGTTTATATATTATGCTAGCAGTATATCACTATCAGCTGCACATATGTGTAAAACACATATATCTAATATACAAAATATAAATTAACGTTTTTTTGCCCTGACATACACACTATAGAAAAAAAGAACGTTTCAAACATGAAGTATAGAGGTAAGGAGGACAATCTCCCATAGGAGAATAGTTGAAAATGTGTCCATCTTTAAGCAGTAAATAACTGTTCAAAAACTCTCCACAGCAACGCTCGAGTAGCTACAGGGTATGTTAAAATACGTTGAGAATGGTTTTGAAAATAAAAATTTTGAATGCAATAAAATAATAATTGTAAAAAGAATTATGGTGAAAGTCTGTGCAATAAAAAATTATAAAAAGTTCTTTAAAATTTAGACTATGGCTACAGTGGCGCCACCGTTATTTAGCACTTTCCTACGCACACTTTTTTATACAGAGTCTGTACTCCTTACCTCTACACTGCATAGTTTGAAATCGCACATAATTCCTTAACCCATTCTCTGTCGCTGTACTCAAACGAGTACAGTTATTTAAAAATTAATTTACTAAATCTGTGAGGGTTTATTAGTTTTTATTTTATTAATTGAAATAGAGGGTAGACTCATATTTTATTTGAGTCGTGCAAATTGAGGGTATTTCTAAAATATGTGTCGTTTGGAGCAACCGGATTTCATGTTATTGGACTAGCGTGGAAGTGAGTAGTATTTTTATGATATTTTATTATTATTATTTGTGTAAATGTTGTTTTTGTAATAATTGTGATTAGATATAGTGTAGTCTATAATGTGAGTTACAAATTTGAAACACTTATTGTTTATTACTAACTTTAGATGAAGATTTTTACTAATGTACTCAGTTGAGTTACTGGTTACACTGGTTACTTCAATAGATAAAAAATACAACTTTTTTTCAGTTTACCAACAATGAGTCGCAAGATGTTTTTTGATATAAATAGCTTTATAGGACCTGAGGAAGCAATTGCAGAGTCTGATGATGATGACCGTGAAAATGATTTGGTGATAATACCACCTGATTCCTGTATCGTGACTGACGAAATGGAAGAGTCTGATGAAGATAGGGTTGTCGGAAGCCTAACATTCAGCAGTGGCAGTACACTTCAGCCTGGAGAAAATGTTCACTATCCTATACTTTTGTCCATCAGCATACGTCTGAGGTGCAAGACAAACAAAATGCTATAAAGGAACATCTGAAAGACCAAATTCTGTACAGATTTTTGCAAAAATACTGAATGAATAAGTATTACAGCTCGTATTATGTAATAGTATTTTGTATGCTAATCAAAACAATAGACACTCTTTTCAACTTGATTTACCAGACCTGAAGAAGTTCATTGGTATTTTGATTTTGTCGGGATATCACAAATTGCCTCGGGAAGTAATATATTGATGACTGGATGAGGACGTCAGAGTTGCTCTAGTTTCAAGAGCTATGACGAGGAATAAATTTCGTAAAATAAAAACGTATCTTCATCTTGTGAGTAACGATGAAACATCAAATTCCAGAAATAAAATGTTCAAAATTAGATCCCTAGCCGACATACTGACGACTAAATTCAATGAATGGGGCGTATTTGTACTACTAACTATGATTATTTTGAACCAGTGAGCACGGTATAAAGATGGTGCCCAGAAATAATAGAGAAAACCGATGTAAGGATTCCGATTTTATTTGAAAACTACAATAAAGGTGGAGTCGATGACCTTGATCAGTCCATATCATTATACAGGATCGGGATTCCTGGTGGTGAGTTTTATTTAAAAGTGGTGGTGAGTTTTATTTACATACTTGTTGGACATGGCAGTTTCAAACGCTTGGCGTTTACATGTTTATGAGCAAGGATGGATGGATGGATTAACTTTTGCTTCGACATAGTCTTGCCATATACTATTTGCGACAAGAAACTCTAAAAAGAGCCAGATCATATTCTTCTTTGATCAAAGGACTGACACAAGATGGTTCAGGCCACTACCCAAGGATGCTTGAAAAGCAATTACGATGCCTCATTTGCCATGCAAGGGTCCGATAGGGATGCAAGAATTGTTTGAAAACACTCTGCATTGAAAAGTCATGCTTCGGAAAATTACACATATAAGTGGCCACTGTAGGTACTCAAACAAGTACACCCCTGAAAAAGTATAAAAAAATAATTGAAAAAATTTTTTGTTTCATTTTATGTTTTCTAGTCCCGCCCAGATTAACAAAATAAATATTTTTCGTTAAAAACGTTTTTTATTTGATTTTGGCCACTAATGGGTTAAAGCTACAATGGCCGCCGACGTACCAGACGGGAGTGACCATAAGCAGGCGTTCCCCTGTTGCTTCCATTTTTTTTTTGTTCTACGCTGTATGCTTATTATCATAACATCTTGATTTTCGCGGTCTCACGGTCACAGAAATCAAAATTTTTTTTGGAGTTCTCAGTCAAAAACAGTTCTAATATGCCAGCACTTAAGAGCGCATATTCAAATATGTCCAAGTCGAAATCTACGCGATCGCTTTGGAACGGCGTAATATTGACGCACACTACAATGTTATCTCTGTGTGCGTGTCAGTGCGAGCGTGAGGCTATAATAGTTGCCTAACGACGACTACGAATCACTTTGATCGTTGATTATATACCTGTCTTTGATACTCTTCGAACTAAAATAATAAAAAAATAATTTCCATATAAGGGCTTACTTATATAGTGTATAGAAATCGGAGGCTAATATGTGGAAATTGTTTTAGGTATTCTTTTAGTAAATTGAAGTCGGCTTTACATTTTCACCCTATTGAGTATATTATAATATGTATATGTTCTAATTGAAAAATATGTATTGTATAAAATATATATCATTTGATAAACTTTTATTCTGTTTCATAATGTAAACATAATTCATCAAACTAACAATTTCATCAGTGTCGGCGGGGATTAGTGTTGCCAGGTCTAGCAAGTAAAATTTCGGGACGGAAGGTAAAAATAATCGGGGATTTGGTTTTCATATCCGGACAACTAGAATGACTACAAAATATAGGTTTCTTTGTAGCCTTTTGTGCTTTATTGAGAGCCGTGGTAGCTCAGATGGTCAACGCTAACTGTAAATATGCGAAGATGAAGAAGATGCTGTAAAAATGCGAGTAATGCGAGAAATTGTGACTGTAACTTTACTTTTGTGCTTTATAATTATTATTCGAGTCTGATCTCATGAACGAATAACTTTTCATCCAAACATCGTAAAAACTGATTTTTTTTTCATTTTAGGCAAATTCAAACATTTTTGAACTACTTGTTTTTTTTTTGCAATCCCTGAATTTTTCAAATCACTCATTTTAATATAATTCTGTTTAAAACTTTTGTGGTTTTTTTTCGACTGGTGAGACAATGTCGTAGTAAAAATATTTTAATGTGGTAGTAGCTAACAGATATAATCATTTTTGCTGTCAAAATTATGGATTAAAGTATAGGAGAAGAAGGTTAGTGAAAATCGGGACATTTGGCGTCCCGTTCAATGATGAATCGGGACGTGTCACTAGACCTTTGAAAATCGGGACGTCCCGCGCAAATCGGGACACCTGGCAACACTAGCGGGGATCGAGCCCGGATTGTTCGCGTTTACGGCGAGCACTACGCCATTGAGCTACTCAACTCAAGCACGGCTCATATGTTTTATATCTGGGGGCACGGTAGTGCCCCCGCCATGTAGACCAAAACAGCGGCACGGCCGTATCACTTGGTTATTTTACAAGTTATGTTTTTGATGGCATGTCTTTGTTTAATCATAACGTTATCTCCACACTAGGAATTTTTCCTAGGTACATACATCGTTGGGGCAGTTTAAATACATTAATTTCACAAGGACAAACATTCACACCTGGAACAATTATTTGTAGGTAATACAAATTTTTGTTCCATGTGGGATTCGAACCTGCGGCGCTCAGCGCTACAAATCATTACCAAGTCACTCCGCCACGGAGCCAAAGGTGAAAGCCAACGATTTTGTATTTTTACTTGATCCGAATTTCTTACGTTCAATTACTAATTTCTAAAAAAAATATGTATGAAATGAAAATTTGCCACCATTACATCATTTAATATTTAAATATTACAATCATAAACATATTTCAGAATTACTTACTACCAAAAATATCGCTTATAAAAGTGAATCGTTTAAAATGCTCGATGGTGCTATAGGTATCTAGTTATAGTATGGTGTAGTATAGCCCTATCGGTGTATCAACGCGATCGCGCGGTGTCGGTGAGAAAAAGTAATACATCCTGTCGTTGGGATTACCCGGACTCCCGGAGCTTACTGAATCGAACGGCGTCTCCGCATGATGTTTTATAGTATTTTTAAAATAATTATATAAAATAATTGACAAAATAAAACGAGCTAAAAATTTTTTTTCGATATTTAACATTACATGTATTTTGATAAAATAATTAAAATAGATATGTTTATAAGCAAATACATGGAAAAAATTACATTGAAGTAGACAGTTTTGGTGATTTTATAATATTATTTTATAATATTAAATCGAAATATTATCGTAATTTAGGTTTTGCTATACCTTAAAAGACTATATATTTCATTATAATAACGCTTAAAATAAAGTATTTTAGCTTATAATAATGGTTGTATTCAACCTGAAAGATAACTCTGACGCATATTTTCGTAAAATGCTGTGAAGGGATTGTCTTCGCTCTAAAAAACCGTCATTAAAAACTATGATTTTGCATTGCTATGTACTAAATAAATACTTCATCTTTCTAAAGCCCTAATTTTCAGCAAATAATCTCCTCACGTCGTTACGATATCGCCTTTGGAAAAACCATAAAACATGTAGTTTTCGACGCGAAACGCATATTATGCCCTCTTAAAATTGCAATTCAGTTTCATTGATCCTGATGGGTATCAAAAAAATTTTTCTTGCCTTATACGTAAGGGATGAACCTTGAGCTACATTTCTTTCCTTTTTGCTTACGTGGCGTTCACTATGCGTACAATAAAACTAGTTCCAACCGCACTGTTACTTACTTTGATTAGATACCTGTCCTTAACATAGTCCAAAACTTGCTCTGAGACAGTTAGCAGTATAAACGTCAAAGCGACGATTATTGTTTGACATTACTTGTATAAACGTAAGTAATGTAAGTTTAGTTAATTTAATTTTAAGTATTTGTAGCACGTATTACATAAAATTTAATTATGCTAAATCTCACTCCTCAGGTTGCGCAAACTCTTAAAAAGGGGCACAAAGTTTTCTCTTCATGTATTATTATATATTAGTGATCGATGATTATAGATTATTTCCTCAAAATTAATTTTTTTATAATAAAAGTCCCCTAAGAAATCAACAAAATTATATGATAAAAAAAAAACTAAATTCCACACACATGTAACATAATATTAAAGGGATTCTATTACACAGTGTTCTGGTGAGGCAAAATATTCGTGCGACGTGAAGTGGTCTCCCCGTGACGTGCACGTGGCCTTCGTGCTCTCCGACGTCGCGCTTGCAGACATCGAGAGCATCGACGCCAGCGACGCATTGGTCAGTTTAATTGTCATACATTTACATTTTTTATTGTTATACATTTTCATTAGTTAGTTTCACTTCATCGTGCTTATTATATTAGTACCTGGGTAAACGAGCTTTGCTCGGATTAAAAAGATTTTTTTGTCTCAGGGATAACACCTATCTTGATAAACACTGAAAGTATCACATCTAAAAACTTAATTTCATCCAAATCTAGGAGATACATACTTACATACATATATTACGTGAATGCGGTTGCTAATGCGCCTTCTGGGCGTGGCTGTTATAGAAAATATCCCACTCATTGGGCAATCTGTGGGGAGACCTAGGTTCAGCAATGGGCTTTGATAGCCTGTATTGATGATTCTAGCATGTACTCGTATGACTGCCTTATTAGTTAAGTGATCGTAATTGTTTATGGTATATTAGTGATTGTATATACGTGGTACAGCCATGCTGCAGCTATATTAGTAGTATAGTTGTAGCACGAATGGGTCGGCTCGACCGGAGAAGCACCACGCATACCATCGTAAAATAGCAGCTTAACGCTGCTGTGTTTCGTATGGTGAGTGTAGAGAATCGGACTCTCTTTAGTAGAAAAGAGGCATTCCATCTCAGTCCTCACGGTTGACTACGCATCTGCATTTTGATTCGTGATTGAGGATTGATGTAGATGTTTATAGGTCACAGCATCCACTTACCATCAGGTGGACTGTGTGCTCCTTTATCACCCTTATCCTATTAAAAAAAAAGTGAGACTGCTGATTATATGGTCATTTCTTCGAATCCCGAGTAGCTCCGAAACTTTTTTCTGTATGTTTTATTTTGTCTGTCAATAATTTCTCAGCCCGATTTACGAAATTATCTGTGCTTCACTCCCGTGCACCTCACGTAAAGCCGTTGGTCTCGCGCCTGATCTCCCTCCGGTCATTTTAAAATGCCGTCCCAGCGGACTATGAGAGTAAGAGAATACGGAGTACAACTGTGCTTGCGCATAAACTCGCGTAATATTATCATGTCCTGCGCAGATGACCTCCCTTGAGATTGGCCGCCGTTGCCAAAATTCAGTTCGGGGGAAATCAGTTTTTTATATACATATTTAAAATAATTGTTCGCTCAAAGTATATAATACAATAAGGATGGCCAAATCATAATCCTAAAGTATCCTTCGGTCTCTTTTTGCCTTAAAAATAAAATAATTTTATTCAAAATTTTAAGCTAACACATTATTAAAATTCTTTCCAGAGACTTCCAGGTGTTATTGCATGCTTCACAGCCAAGGACATCCCGGGAAAAAACTGTTTCCCCCCACTGGATGTGTCCTTTATAGACGTCGAAGAGGAAATACTTGCCAGCTCGAAAATCTTATACCATGGGCAGCCAGTTGGGTTGATAGCAGCCGTGAACCACAAGCTGGCTGTGAAAGCGGCTGGACTAGTGCGAGTCAAGTACAAGAATGTTGGAGTACCGGTGTTAACTATATCTGAGGCGTTGGTGGCTCCAGATAAGGATAGGAGGGTAAGTATGCAGAATATTTGTAGTAGATATGCCTAATATACTCGTAAATCACAACCTAACGCGCTTCTCTTCTTCTTTTTCTAATCTATCAAATGTGTCTGCGGATATACATATATAAAGCTAGTTTCTTTAATGTTTTTCTTCCTCTAATTAAAAAATTGCTATGACCACACAACACAAAACACACGTCTTTCCTCAACTTCTCATCCATTCGATTTGATTACTGTATGCATTGGATTTCCATACCTCTAACACTGCATATAGTACAAAAAGGGAGGACACCTGAGACATACTATACTATATCGCTTGTGGTAAAGTTAGGCTTTGTGCCTATTTCGGCTGGTTACTGGATACTCTAATTGATCGAGAAGAATTACCATACGTTCCCGTTCGGTTTATATATATTTATATATATGTATATATATATATATATATATATATATTTTTATATATATATATATATATATATATATATATATGTAGAGCCGTGCTGCTATGTTTCGTATAGTATGGTGAGTGTAGAGAACCGGAAACTCTTTTTACTGGAATCTAGGCATATCGTGTTAGTTCTCAGGGGTGGCAACGCATTTGCATTTTGATTCTTAATGAAGGATAGATGTGCATGTCTATGGGCCGCAGCATCCACTTACCATCAGGTGCACTGTGTGCTCGTTTGTTACCCTTATTTTATAAAAAAAATTCTGAACGCAAACCGATACAGTTCAATTTTATTTATACGTATGGTGAAGTAGCAAGTATGTTTACTATAACTTACAGGATGACTGGCGGTCCACCGCCGTGCGATTAAGAAGTTTTCTTCCTCGTACAACTTCCTTGTCGAATCGACTACCACTAGAGATTTTTGCGGACCGATACGACTTAGGGACCTTCAAGAAAAGAGCCTACTCCTTTTAAAAGGTCGGCAACGCATCTGCAATTCCCCTGGTGTTGCAGTTGTTCATGGGCGGCGGTAATCACTTACCATCAGGTGAGCCGTGTGCTCGGTTGCCCCCTCTCATATAAAAAAAGGAAAAAAAAATAGTGTAGGTCTACTATAATTCAAGACATCAAGACGAGACTCGACCTTTCAATCTGGCTCACATTTATTAGAAAATTTGTTCATACTCACATTACGAGTACATACATACGTATAGCCATAATAGGCTACAGACGTATAGCCATAATCGCCACACTGCGATTATTGCACCTGCCAACGTTTTTGTAAGCGATGTTCCAGAAGTTTCCCACATTCTTTTTGCATACTTAGCAGTCATAAAAAGGAGAAAAAACTTAAAGTATAGATATTCCATCTACAGTATAATGGTTTGTTATCACCAGGTCCGTAAGGATGTGGCGATCATCGCAAGCGATTGTAGCAAGGACACCACACACGTGTTTCGTGGCAGCTACGTGGTGCCTGAGCAGTACCACTTCACCATGGAGCCGCAGTGCTGTATCGCGAAGCCCTCGTCACGTGGCATGAAGCTGCGGAGTGCCACGCAGTCGATGGACCTCACGCAAGTAGCTGTGGCGAGGATGCTACAATTACCGCTTAACAGGTTAGTATAGTATTTGGTATATCACGACCCATGGCCTCGTGTTCGTGTAGCCCTGTGTGTGTTCCTGTGTGGCGATAGTGGTAACATCGACAATATAAGACGTCAAGAAGCATTACCTAACACTTTGTGGTTATTGATAACCAATTCTAGCAACAGATAGTTATTCTGTGTTTATTTTCCTCTTTGTTTTTATTTATTTATTTATTATCTACATATATATATGTATGCGTATATATTTATATATATACCTATTTATTAATATGTATGTTTATTTTATTATTATTTTTTTATGTATTATTGTGGTATTTTAACAAATATAGTTTAGTTTATTTAGATATTAGAATGTAAGTGTAACATAAAACGCACCACCTCCTAATTCCAGTTTCTCCTTAGCCCAAAGGTTGTCTGGAAGAGATCGCTCTTTAGCGGTAAGACCGCCTTATTGTACATACGTATATATTTTCTCTGTAATGTATTTATTCGTTGTATATGTGTGGTGGACAATAAAGTATACTACTACTACTACTACTAATATTAAGCAATGTGTGTGGATCATAAACATAGGCGCAACAAACCACTCGAAACGATATGAGTATGAAAGGTCGCTGCATATGTAACGTGTTTTATCCCGGACGGAGCGGGACATCAAATTTTAGAAATATCGTTTCATAGAAAATGTACGTGATAATGCATACGTTACGGATGCACAGACGGGACGGGGACGTGGCATGAACGGGACTGGAAAAACATCGTAGGGGACGATATTTACCCCGTCCCGCCCGGGGCGTGCCACGTCCCGTCCGTGGTTCCGCTGCGTATGCACAGTCGCTCCGTTGGCTACGTAGTGCGCGTTCCGTACTAACGAACATAGACGACGAAAAACTAGTTGAATGTTTGCATAATATTGCACGACTAAAGTATTTGAACACAAAATATAAAAAAATTCTGTGGCGGAAAATTGAAAAAATTGAATCGAATTATGACTCACTGCAAACGGTTAGTTTTTATTTTATTTGTCATTTATTGTTTTCGTAGCTTTACAATAGACGAATAGATTAATAGGTAACAATAACAGTTGAACCTATTTATGCTCAAATCAAAAGACAGGTACGTAAATAAAGTAGACAACAGAATTCAAGTAAATCTCTATAAAAAAGGATATAATCAACTTTTTGACAGAGTATTGGTTAAAATGTGTTTGTAGAGCATTTATTGATAAGGGTGTTGGTATTCATTTATGCTAAAAATGCCGATTGAGAATTGAGAAAAACTTTGTAGAGAAATAGCAATCAATGCCAATTCTTCAAATGAAAAATCAATCTTTCACAACACTAGCACGTTAGTTTCAGATCACTGTCACGGTGCGTATGCATTAAACTCCCGTCCGTGTTGACAAACAACCACGTTCCGTCTCCGTCCCGTGCACGTTATGATTCCGTCCTGTATGCAGCGACCTTAAACGATCTAGCTGTTCCCCACCACATGCGTTGCAATGACATAAAATAGTTATAGGGGACTCTCGTACATCCGCCGCCCCCTTGACCGATAGTCGATAGTTCAGTCTCTCAGTCGCTTACGTACTTCGATGCGAAGATATTGTCGCTTTGTCTCACGATCTAAAATTACTTAGTGTGCCGATCTATTGTTTATTTATCATCTCGTGTATATTTTTTCTGTCTCTGTACTTCTTCCTTATTGTGAATAGTCCCGTTGCATCCTCCTTTTGTCTATTATTTCAGTTTAACTTTATGTGAACATTGAATCGCGAGTGTTAGTACATCTTTTATTTATACAACTACTACGCGCACCTAGTAGTTATCACATCTCACAACATTGTGGCGTCTACACTAGCTACTAAAGCTGGTAATGCTTTTAATGTGCATGATCATGAATAAATTTTTATCCAAGAACCAGATTTTTTATTTCTTTAACATCCCAACGCAAGGACAAAGAAGAGCTTGTTCCAAGTTGTTTCAGCCATGTTGTATATCGTTAGTTGCTCGTCGGAAAGAAACAGTTACTCTAATTTAGGTTTGGCTACAACATTTTTAAATATCTGTTGTTTATCATCTGTCACGATAAATACGCCTTACTCTTAAAAGGGGGTGCACGTAATTTGAATTTTGATATTTTTAATTGATTTATTTAAGTTTGTAATATAATAGTTTACTTTAAATATCATTTACGTGTGGAGAAAGGATTTGTGGAGTATATTTCGGTAATTGAAAAACAACAAAATAGAAGGGCAACTCCCTTCTATTTTAACTCCAAAAGGCTTAAAATATACGATGTATAACCAAAGGATAGAATATAAGGAACACCTTTACAGTTCAGCCTACACGACTTTCGAACTCCTTGCCTAATGAGATCCGAAAAGCTCCCAATAATTTGCATTTAAAAAGTTGTTGCGTAATCATCTATTAAAGACAACACTTTTGAAATGAAACATATATATATATATGGGTATATGTATATATACTATTTATAAATAGGAGATATTTCATAGTTTATTTATTTTATATATAAGTAAAATGTATATATTACGCAGTTTATTTTTATTTTACTTTATTTTTATTCTACACTACACCTACGTAAAATTCTAACCACTCCATGGGTTCCTCTAAGGTATTAAGTCGGCCCTTTGTATTCTTTTGTTATGAGGCCTTCTACACGATCGGGACCAACCACCGACCATCGTGTCCTTGTTCGGGTCAACCGATTTTCGTATTCATTCTACACGGTCGGGTGGTTGTTACTCAACTTGTCAGTTCTCTACGGCATTCAAAGCGTAAAGAATCAACTAAATTGGCTCCTTGTCTTTCGAAGCACCAAAAGATCGGTTTGGCAATAACTTTTTTTGGCTAGAGTCATCGGACACCAACTTCACCAAGGTCAACTCGACCAAGGTCACTATTGTTGGTGGTTGGTCCCGCCCGTGTAGAATGCCTTTAAGGAATATAATGAATAATAAGTAAATAAATAATACTTTTGTCGATTTGATAAGATTGCAAGCAAGTACAACACTGAATATACGTAGTTCCGGTTGAATCGCGGGTTAAACTGACGATGTACATGGGCTTGTAGTGTGGAGGTGTGTGTGCCCCGGGTGGGCGGGGCGTACGGTGGCAAGGCGTCCCGCGCGGCGCTGGTGGCGTGCGCGTGCGCGCTGGCTGCGAGCGCGCTGCAGCGCCCCGCATCACTCGTGCTGCCGCTCAAGCATAACATGACCGCGATCGGAAAGAGATCTGCTTGTGACTTTCACTATGAGGTACGCACGCACACACGTAAGTACACACATACACGCGCACGCACGTGACACTTGCTGGTGGCTGCTGCTCAAGCATAACATGACTGCGATCGGAAAGAGCTCTGCTTGTGACTTTCACTATGAGGTACGCACGCACACACGTAAGTACACACACACACACGCGCACGCACGTGACACTTGCTGGTGGCTGCCGCTCAAGCATAACATGACTGCTATCGGTATGAGATCTGCTTGTGATTTTCACTATGAGATACGCACGCACACACGTAAGTACACACACACACACAGGCGCGCGCACGCACGAGACACTTGCTGGTGGCTGCCGCTCAAGCATAACATGACCGCGATCGGAAAGAGATCTGCTTGTGACTTTCACTATGAGGTACGCACGCACACACGTAAGTACACACACACACACACACACACACACACACACACACACACGCATGCACGAGACACTTGCTGGTGGCTGCCGCTCAAGCATAACATGACCGCGATCGGAAAGAGATCTGCTTGTGACTTTCACTATGAGGTACGCACGCACACACGTAAGTACACACACACACACGCACACACACACACACACACACACACACGCACGCACGAGACACTTGCTGGTGGCTGCCGCTCAAGAATAACATGATCGCGATCAGAAAGAGATCTGCTTATGACTTTCATTATGAGGTACGCACGCACACACGTAATTACACACACACACATACGTAATTACACACGCACACACACACACACACACACACACACACACACACACACACACACACCAGTGGCGAAGGTTCCATTAAAGCCGAAAAGCCGGGCTTGCCTTATTAAACCTGAATCAATCAATAATATCAATCAATAATATCAACTAATAAAATAACTCGTAAAATGTTTCAAGCTATTTCAAATTTCCCGCGCACTCCACTGTTCGACACATGTCGACCGATGACCTCGTATTGCCTTAGCGATACTGCTGCTGTCATAAAAAATGAGTTTTAATAGAGCTAATAGTTGTCTCCCTCGCTCGCGTGGGCTTTTTACGGGACTTTCGAGAAGACGATCGCTCTCTTTCTAATCTATGGCAAAATATTCTATAATGAAATATAACTACGGTTGTATATATAGCAATTAGTATAGAGATTTAAAGCCAGGCTTTTGAGAATAAATTTGTTAAAAGCGGAGGCGCGCGGGCAATACGTTTGCAAGTTCATTTCACGTTTCAATGTTTATTTACTCTGTGTGCTTATCTTAAGCGATTTAATATTACGAGTTCAAAATTTATGCTTTTTTAAAGATTTTTAATGAAAATGGAGGATGATAGTGTTCCTTGTGATGAATTGAAGTGTGTTAAAGTGATAATCAGAGAGGAAATCTTTAAACTTTCTTGAGATAATACACAAGGTTAAGAGTGTATTTCAGACTTATCAATTATCGCAATTAAAAACAGTTATTCGTATAATTAAAACGTTCACCAACATTTTACGTGGACGTAATTAAATCTTTCCATAAGAAAGCGAGACGATTCCACTTATCTTATCTTATCTCTTATCCATTAGAATGTAAATATTTTTTTTAATATTGTACATAGTTTGTTTGTACTTTGTTCGTGTTTTACTTTTGTTCATGTATTGTATTGGATGTAAATATTTTTTTTCTTTCGCTTAAACAAACCCAAACGGCTTTCTTCAAAGCCACCGAAGCAATGCAATTGCTGATATGTAATACAATCTATCTAGCAGTGGTATGCCTTCTGTGTACATTGTTAAACACGTCCTTGAAAGCACTGAATATGAAACTGATGCGTGGAGACAGATTTAGATTGGTGTATTTTTATAAAACTGCTAAAAACGACAATCTATATTTTTATCAATTTATATCTTGGGCTTGCCCTCGCTTGGAGCTCTAGCTTCGCCACTGATACACACACACACACACACACACACACACACACACACACACACACACACACACACACACACACACACGCGCACGCACGAGACACTTGCTGGTGGCTGCCGCTCAAGCATAACATGACCGATCGTAAAGAGATCTGCTTGTGACTTTCACTTTGAGATACGCACGCACACACGTAAGTACGCACACACACACGCGCACGCACGAGACACTTGCTGGTGGCTACAGCACCCCGCCGTGCTCGTGCTGCTGCTCAAGCACAACATGGCCGCGATCGGAAAGAGATCCACTTTCGACTTGCACTATGAGGTATCCACGCACTCACGCACATAGTAAGTACGCAGATACACACGCGCACGCACGATACACTTGCTGATGGCTACAGCACCCCGCCGCGCTCGTGCTGCCGCTCAAGCATAGCATGGTCACGATTGGAAAGAAATCTGCCTGCGACCTGCGCTACGAGGTACACACATATGCACGCACACACGATACACACACTGATTGCATGTGCATGCCATCTATGCCAGCGTAAATTATGTTGTTTTGTGTTATTGTTTTCTTTAGTGGGTGTCTGAAGACTATTTTTACTAGAAATGAGGCATTTCATCTTAGTCCTCAGGGGTGACTACGCATCTCCATTTTGATTCTTAAACGAAGATAGATATCGATTATCTTTAGGTTACGGCATCCACTTACCATAAAATAGTCTGTGTGCTTGCTTGTCACCCTTATTGTATAAAAAAATAAATCATTATATACGTCACACAGCTAAGTGCTCATTTCTGAATAAGGTTCGACTTTTTGAAATAAATATAGTATTATATTTACTTTTCGTTGCCGAAAAATTAAAAAATAATAAAATACATTTGTCAAAATAAAGTAAATTTTTGACTTGCTATTTTTTCCATACGATATTATAGTCTTTGCAGCTTTTAGCGTCGTCTCACTTGTTATTGGTGGACACCTTAACATCACCTTTACAATTTATGTCATAAGATGTATAATTAGTTTTAGCGTCAGTCGCCGTAAAATCATCTTGTATATCTCGCTGTGTTTATAACCCGCTATTTTAGCATACAATAAAGTTTTAGCATACTTTATTACTATAAATTATGTTTGTACGTAATAGCTTAATATAAATTGCCGGTGGCAATCCTATTCCTGAGATGGTTTTAGCGCTCATTTCCTCATTTTTTCTTTCACTACCAAGTACAGCAGCAAATTTTAATACATTTAGCAAATTACAATAAAACCTGTTTATTTACCAAAACTGAAATAATAAATATGTAGTAATAATCTGAAAATCCTGTATTTTACCTGTAGGTGGGCGTAAACGACGATGGACTGATTAAATACTTAAATCTCATATACTACAGCGATTGCGGATGTACGTTTAACGACTCGATGGGGTCAACTATCGCGAACTTCATAAAGAATCTGTATGACAGCACCTGTTATAACATCACTGGGTACAGTGTACTGACCGACAAGCCTTCTAATACATGGTGCAGAGCGCCTGGTAAGTCACATAGCTTGATTAACAGTAATTTTAATTAGCATAAGCCATACAGCTGGATTTAGTTATAGATATCTTATCTTTTCTTTGTCTTCTACTAGGTTTTTGCCATTTTCGGAATCGAATATGTTATAATACCTTGAACACTATTAAGTTTTTTAGTTTGTCATATCATAGTTGTATTTCTTGAGTATATGATGTATGTTTTTATCTGTTTCTTTGTGACTTCCTATAGCCAAAATTGCTTAATAGGTTTGTAGCTATGTCGGTAGATTTGTCTTCGTCGCATTTTTTAGCCCAATTGCCATGTATGTTCATTACTTTGTTTTTCTATATAACTTTCCTAAATTTGTCGGTGAATTTTGAAGAAAGACATTGCAATCAATTTATCTAAATTTCTTGGATAGCATATACTATATTATGACGGCAGCATAAAACGAAAAGGGTGGACATTTAATGTCAAAACTAGCGACATGACCTAAAAATCAAAAAAAATTTGAAAGCTGTTAAGTCTCATGCTGTCTCTATCTCTAAGTTAAAGTGACTATGACACCATGAGAGATCAGTATTTGGGAATTACTTAATCAATTGGGAGCATTCGTTGTATTCACGATTAAATTCATTTCGGACTTTTCTAGTGCCTTGCCTTACAGCACCTATGGCCATGTGACGAAATAAAACACAATCAAGGCTTATAAAAAAATACGTGAAGAAACAAAACACAAAAAATTTGTCATTACAGTTTTATTATCCTATTATCTTAATTTCAGCTTCAACAGAAGCCGTCGCTGTGATGGAGCACATAATGGAGCGTATAGCGCACAAAACAAAGAAAGACCCCACCGAAGTCAGAATCACTAACCTGGCCGCTAAGAATGCCGTACTAAAGGAAATGATAGCGGCATTCAAAATGGAAACCAATTACGACGACAGAATGTCCGAAATCGCTAAGCACAACAAAGAGAACGCCTGGAAGAAGCGAGCTTTGAAGCTTTCGTTGATGTCATTTCCAATCATCTTTTACGGGAATTATCCTGTAACGATATCCGTGTACCACGGGGATGGATCGGTTCTTATATCCCACGGCGGTATTGAAATGGGCCAAGGAATCAATACGAAAGTGGCTCAAGTCTGTGCCTATGTATTGAAGATACCTTTGGACAAAGTAACAGTAAAGGAATCCGATAGTTTCGTATCACCCAACGCTATGGTTAGCAGTGGTAGTATAACCAGCGAGTGTGTCGCCTATGCGACTATTAAGGCTTGTAAAGAGTTGCTGAAAAGATTGGAGCCAGCGAGGAACGAATTGATTAATCCTACGTGGGAAGAAGTTGTCAAGAAATCATTCGATAATGGTATGATATAGGTTTTCTGTCAAGAAATTTTCAAAAGCAACCCGGAGACATGAAATTGGCAGTATTCCTCCCTAGTGCCTCGGAAAGCACGTGAAGCTGTAGGTCCTGCGTCTGATCTCTCCGGTGTTTCGGATTGACAAAAGCTAGAAGTTATCTAGAACAAGCTATTAAGTGGAAATTATTTTACTGTCCACTTTTTTTGTTTTTGAAGTCGCTTTTAGACTTATTTCTAAAAGCTGTTTACTTATTATTGACGTTTGATGTTAAGCGATAGCTCCGGTGGCAGTCTTTTTTGTATAGTCGTGGCGTAAGAGAATCCATAATATGATATGGGGTCGGCTCGGCCGGGAAAGGACCACGCTCTCGCAGAAATCAGCGAGAAATAGCAGTTTAATGCTGCTGTGTTTCATTCTGCAGTGACACATGTGAGTGATGAGAACCGGAGACCACTTTTACTGGGAATGAGGCATTCCATCGTTGTCCTCATGGGTAGCAACGCAACTGTATTTTGATTTTAATAGGAGATGAATGTAAATGTCTATGGGGTCACAACTACTTGCGACTGTATCTGATGAGGTAGGCTGTTTGCTAATTTGTCACCCTTATCCTATAAAAAAACACTAATCCATAACATCATCGCGTAAAACTGGGAATGGGCAACTTAATCTCCTGATAATAACTGAAAATAATAATATATAATAATAATAATAACCTACGGTTGCCAGCCCACTTGCAAGGCGTGGCAACTATGAATAATATTCCCTCCATGAAGGCAATCTATGTAAGCCTATGTTCAGTAGTGGACTGGCCTATGTTGATAGGCTGTACCTAATTAATGAATGTTGCCAGTTGCCACACTAAACTTTAATTAATGATTATTCGTTATATTTATTCTTTCGTATTATTAATCCGTATTATTTATTCTGTGATAAGTCCGACAAAGATAGAGATAGAGGTGTAGTTTGTTGATAGCTAAATGTAGGTAACAAGTAATAATAACATTAATTCTTCTGAAAATAAATATAAAAAATACTTAGTAAGATAGCGACCCGCCGCGGCTTTGATAAGATAGAATCTATTAACGTGACGTTATTCAGATTTATGATACTTTTGTTTTATCAATTTTTCGTTTTTAAAAATAATGATGGTTTTTGAATAAAATAAAGTCTAGATGATTCTTTACATCTCTCATCTGTTTGTAAAGTTTCATCACCATCGGTTTAGCCATTTCTGCCATTCCTATGATTATTCCGGACAGACAGACAGACAGACAGACGAAAATTATTTTTTTTGTTTATGTCTTACAGTTACAGCCTATATACGTCCCACTCCTGGGCACAGGCCTCCTCTCATTTCTGAGAGGATTTTTAGGGCAAGGAATAGTCCGCCGCGCTGCGCCAATGCGTGTTGGCGAACTTCACATGTCTCCGAAATATTTTTTCCTATTTCTCAGACATTCAGGTTTCCTTATGATGTATAATAATAAATCAGCACTTAAAATTGCAATTAACAATTTCATTGGTGCCGGCGGGGATTGAACCCGGTTTGCTCGCGTATTGTGGAATTTACAACGAGCGCTAACAATCTGAGCTACCACGGCTCCTTGGTACATAGGCTTGAACATAAACTGTCGTTTATGTCTTATAGTATAAATATATACCCCCTGAGTACAATAGCAGCAAGTTCTTTTAATATTACAGACAGATATTTTAATTTCAATCTTAACATCAATTTTAGGCGTTAACCTTCAGACAAGTTCTATGATGTCGCCTTTAGACTCCTTAATAGGCTACGATGTGTATGGAGTCTGTTGTGCTGAGGTATGCCTGGACGTACTGACTGGTCAGCATCAGGTTCTGAGGGTGGACATCCTAGAAGATACGGGTCAAAGTCTCAGCCCTAGCGTGGACGTTGGCCAGGTAAATTAATAAGGACATCGCTTATTTTATAAATATACGTAATAGATAGTTATTCTTCTTGTGGTCATCGGGGAATAAACTCACTTTTTGTTAGTGTTGATATCACCTATCCTGCGTAACACTGAGAAAGATCTCTAGCTCGCGTACCTCTTAAGACACTCATAGCCGCAGTGATTAATATTTATGGATATTAAAATTACCTACTTAGAAGAGCACCTTCCGCCCTACCCCAATTGCATGCACTATCCCCGTCACCACAAATCCCAACACCACTACAATAAGAAAGACTCACTATTGTCTATAATAGGACTCGTGTTTCGCCTCTAAGCGAGGCATCATCAGGTAAAACAGACTCTGCTGTGGCATACCGCTTAACAGTCGCAGTTGAGGGAATAATCGGCTCTTCAAATTAAGTAAAACACAATATTATTTTACTACGCAGATCTTAGCTAATTATTTTTAACTTATTATATAATATAATGATTTGTAAGGCTTGGTTATATTAATTTAAAAATATATATTCCCCCCCCCCCCAATGTTGGCTCCAACTGGGATTCAGACCAAGGTATACGGTGCCAACTGGAGGCAGATGGCGGATAACATAAGCTCCGTTATAGCCTAACAGCCCTATTAATAAACACAGACTTGAGCCAGATTAACTTTACTCCTAGTTTAAAGCTTAAAATATCTAATTTCAGTATTAATAAACATAGAGTAAGGAGGGAATAAACTAATCCGAATCTACTCTCGGAATAAAAGTTAATCTTTGGTGGTACCTAGTATAACGACTGAGTAAGCATAGACTAGTCGCGTATTTTGACATTTTGTAAAACTATACGTACGTTTACACGCGTTGGTACCCGTGTTAAATTCATAAGTTGTAAGCACTAGTAAGAAAAACAGCATAATGGATTAAAATGACAAGAAGTGATGTGGATCAGAACAAAGTGATTGCAGGTTTTTATTCATTATATGGATTTAGACAAGTGATTGGGGCTATTGATTGCTACATATTCTAATCCCGAAAGTCGCTGGAAACATCGGACAATACTACATAAACAGGAAAGGACACAGTTCAATAAATGTAAAAGTAAGTTTTATTCTCTGCCGTATAGGTACTTAGTTATTTTCTCAGATTCAATACAATCACGTCAATCTATTACTTCATATTAAAGAAGTTTTGAGTGCTTTGTTCCAGGTTGTGTCAAATACAAATTCAGAGTTCATGGATACAGTTGCACATTGGCAAGGCAGCACACATGACTCAAGAATATTTAAAAAAAGTCACATTAAAACAAACGTTTGAGCAGTCAGAATTTAAAGGCAGACTTCTCGGAGATTCTGGTTGTGCTTGTACTCCTTATTTATTCGCTCCTATCCTGCGTCCTAATAAACAAAAGGAAGAATGTACAACCGGTCGCACATCTGGTGGCCCCGTTACACTGTAGAACAATGCTTTGGAGGGAAGCAAAGGTTTCGGTGTTTACTGCGAGGACTAAATACTAAATAAGAGCATACAAAACTATATACATTGCAATGCAAAAGCAAGATCTGCTTGAGGATGTAGTATAAGGAGATGATGAAAATATATCAGTCACACAATTAGTAAATAACTCCGTAGAGGAAATTCTGTTCGGGCAGCATTTATTAACGATTTTTTTTTAAATGAATATACAATAATTACATGTACAAAAGATTTTATTTATCCCCTAAAACAAAACAAAATGGTTATTTAATTAATTTTGCCCTTCACGCTCTTTTCTTAATTCTAAAATTTCGTTACAAATAATATTAAAAATGATTATATTTAGAACTTAGTTTTTCCACCGAGTCCGAAAACAACACGAGGAACAAGGAACACAAGGAACAACACGTAACACTTATCTCTTGTCAAACTCAAAATATTGCCTGTCACTGTCATTAATGTCATCATCAAGCATTGAGTTCATTCACTAATCATTCACTGACTCACTCTTTTTACTTTTAAAATAAGTGGGTTGCCATAACGCAAGCGTTAATCCCGGCGTAAGGAAAGTATAGTTAGTCCGAGGTTACTCCATGCTTATTAATAACATTGTAATAACGAAGTAAATAGTTACTCTGAGATTAGCTAGTCCAAGTTTAACTTCGAATTAAGTTTGGAATAAGCAATTTTTATTAATAAGGCAGTAAGAGACTATCGTTTTACTTAAATATTTTTAATATTTGGTCACTAACATGGAACTGAAACTGAGACCGTTTTAAAAGATTTTGTTAAGATTGTTAATCTTAACCAAAATGTTCTAAAACTGTTTTGGTTCCGTTTCGGTTTTTGAAAAAAAAACTATCTCTATTAATTTTTCTTAAGGTAATAATAATAAATATTAATATAATATACTAGTGATCTGCCCCGGCTTCGCATGAGTGATATCTGAATTATACAATAGCGCCACCTACCGGGTCCAACTATGCCTATAGCTTTCACGGAACTGCAAGAAATATGTTGACAAAGTTTTACACAATCTGATGAATAGTATGGCAGCTAACAAACAAACATAATATTTATATATTAGAAGATAAATATTTACAATTCCTTATAGATCGAAGGTGCCTTCATCATGGGTCTAGGCATGTGGACCAGCGAGCGTCTGATTTATTCCAAGTCGGGCCGCTTGCTCACTGACTCCACCTGGACTTACAAACCGCCTGGTGCTCTGGATATTCCGGTTGACTTCCGTATCAACTTCCGGCGCAATTCTAAGAACGATGCCGGGGTCCTTTGGTCTAAAGGTTGGTTGCGCAATGATCCATTCAGATAGTGTTGGAAATAGCTTATATAGCTACAGGGCTATATTTCTGCTGTCCGCAAGCTATAATGCCGCTATCCAACAAAACCATATTTCAAAGTTAAGAACAAAAAAGCGCGGAAAAATGAAAAATTGATGCCGTTTCACAACTATAACTTCTATGCGAGAGTTATCAATATCAAAAATTAGATCCAGTTTTGCACTTTCAAAAAGCCATACTTTTACTTATTTAATAATGATTTAACCTTAACAAAAATAGCTTTTTGCGTTTTAGTTTAGTATTTTTACAATTTACAACTTATAAAACTACGACTATAATGCCGCTAAGCCTACTATAACGGCATTTTAGTGTTTGATTTTCATTTAATTTTATTGACATTAAAAAGTCTTAAAAAAATCTCTTCATTACTAAACTATAATGCCCCTAAATACTTTAACGTTGTTATAGCTTAGCATTATGACTCCGAGAACAAACACTATGCAAAAGCATAATGCAGCTAAAACCACGTAGCCGCACTTAAGACTAGTGACTTATAGGGATATTTTTTTATTGACATTAAAAATTCTTAAAAAAATCTCTTCATTACTAAACTATAATGCCACTAAATACTTTAACGTTGTTATAGCTTAGCATTGTGACTCCGAGAACAAAAACTATACAAAACCATAATGCAGCTAAAACCACGTAGCCGCACTTAAGACTAGTGACTTATAGGGATATTTTTTTATTGACATTAAAAAGTCTTAAAAAAATCTCTTCATTACTAAACTATAATGCCACTAAATACTTTAACGTTGTTATAGCTTAGCATTGTGACTCCGAGAACAAAAATTATGCAAAACCATAATGCAGCTAAAACCACGTAGCCGCACTTAAGACTAGTGACTTATAGGGATATTTTTTTATTGACATTAAAAAGTCTTAAAAAATCTCTTCATTACTAAACTATAATGCCACTAAATACTTTAACGTTGTTATAGCTTAGCATTGTGACTCCGAGAACAAAAACTATACAAAACCATAATGCAGCTAAAACCACGTAGCCGCACTTAAGACTAGTGACTTATAGGGATATTTTTTTATTGACATTAAAAAGTCTTAAAAAAATCTCTTCATTACTAAACTATAATGCCACTAAATACTTTAACGTTGTTATAGCTTAGCATTGTGACTCCGAGAACAAACACTATGCAAAAGCATAATGCAGCTAAAACCACGTAGCCGCACTTAAGACTAGTGACTTATAGGGATATTTTTTTATTGACATTAATAAGTCTTAAAAAATCTCTTCATTACTAAACTATAATGCCACTAAATACTTTAACGTTGTTATAGCTTAGCATTATGACTCCGAGAACAAACACTATGCAAAACCATAATGCAGCTAAAACCACGTAGCCGCACTTAAGACTAGTGACTTATAGGGATATTTTTTTATTGACATTAAAAAGTTTTAAAAAAATCTCTTCATTACTAAACTATAATGCCACTAAATACTTTAACGTTGTTATAGCTTAGCATTATGACTCCGAGAACAAACACTATGCAAAACCATAATGCAGCTAAAACCACGTAGCCGCACTTAAGACTAGTGACTTATAGGGATATTTTTTTATTGACATTAAAAATTCTTAAAAAAATCTCTTCATTAGTAAACTATAATGCCCCTAAACACTTTAACGTTGTTATAGCTTAGCATTATGACTCCGAGAACAAACACTATACAAAACCATAATGCAGCTACAACCTCGTAGCCGCACTTAAGACTAGTGACTTATAGGGATATTTTTTTATTGACATTAAAAAGTCTTAAAAAAATCTCTTCATTACTAAACTATAATGCCACTAAATACTTTAACGTTGTTATAGCTTAGCATTATGACTCCGAGAACAAACACTATACAACAGCATAATGCAGCTAAAACCACGTAGCCGCACTTAAGACTAGTGACTTATAGGGATATTTTTTTATTGACATTAAAAAAGTCTTAAAAAAACCTCTTCATTACTAAACTATAATGCCACTAAATACTTTAACGTTGTTATAGCTTAGCATTATGACTCCGAGAACAAACACTATGCAAAAGCATAATGCAGCTAAAACCACGTAGCCGCACTTAAGACTAGTGACTTATAGGGATATTTTTTTATTGACATTAAAAAAGTCTTAAAAAAATCTCTTCATTACTAAACTATAATGCCCCTAAATACTTTAACGTTGTTATAGCTTAGCATTATGACTCCGAGAACAAACACTATGCAAAAGCATAATGCAGCTAAAACCACGTAGCCGCACTTAAGACTAGTGACTTATAGGGATATTTTTTCTGCATCTATTTTTTAGGTTGATTACATGGCTTGAATGCCGCTAAATACAAAACATTAAAATGTAACGGCGTTTTAGTTTTAAAACTACCACACGATAGTTGAGGAAATCAAATAAAGTAGTAGCAACCTACAGAAATAAAAGAGCTTATTATATTTTATTTCTCTCTTATAATTATTAAAAAACATAAAAACAATCTTCACCTTATACGAGAATATAATGTTATCTTATGAAACGACCAAAAATATTTCAAAAATACCTTTTTAAAGCAAATTTTGAAATTATTTCACAATTGATTAAATGGACAAGTAACGAGTATGATGACGAATTTTTATTTTGAGCACTGCAGTTATCGAGCCATATATTCACATTAGTATCGTCTCGGTTACATAAAAGAAAATGGTAGAAGGCCGTCATGATGTCCTCTTGTTTTCTCTCTGCAATACCATCATGCCTTATGACTGTTAATGGCTTTGAAGAGGAACTGAATTTGCCTAGTACTGCAAATTTCTGATTGAGTGCCGTAAGGCGTCTGCAAAAAATTGCAGCTTTGAATTTGGACAACATAATTTCTCTTTCTATGTCTGCGCTGTAATATATTGTAAAAGCTCCTCCTTTTTTATATTTTTGATGATGTTATGCCCACTCCATACATACAGTACAGTCTAAGACAATCTGGTTACCGGCATCATGTGGTGTTTCATTTTTATGCAAAGTATAGGCTTCACACATTTCACACTCTTCATTACCCAAACGAGTAAAAGAAATATTAATTTTTTTTACGTGTTGCCTATATCATCATCATCATCATCATTACAGCCCTTCATAAGTCCACTGCTGAACGTAGGCCTCCCCCAAGTAACGCCACAAAGCACGGTCCTGAGCCACCTGCATCCATCGACTTCCTGCATGTCTTACCAGGTCGTCACTCCATCTAGTGGGGCGTCGCCCTACACTACGCCTACCGGTACGAAGCTCCCACTCCAGAACATTTCTTCCCCATCGGTTATCGGTTCTTCGAGCTACATGGCCAGCCCATTGCCACTTCAGCTTACTAATCCGTTGGGCTATATCGGTCACTCTGGTTTTACTGCGGATATCCTCATTTCTGAGTCTATCACGCAGAGAAACTCCGAGCATAGCCCTCTCCATAGCTCGCTGAACGACCTTGAGCGTCCTCATACGGCCAGCAGTGAAGGAACAAGTCTCAGCTCCGTAAGTCATCACTGGAAATACGCACTGGTTGTACACTTTAGTTTTCAGAGATTGAGGTATACCTGACGAGAAGATGTGTCGTAATTTCCCCGAACGCTGCCCAGCCGAGTTAAATCCGTCTATTGACCTCTCGGTCGAAGTTGGACTTACCTAGTCGGACTATTTGTCTCAGGTAAACGTACTTGTTAAAAACTTCGAGCATAGTGCTCCCAACAACTACCGGCATAGGTGTGACATGGACATTAAACATGATCTTTGTTTTGTCCATGTTCATCTTAAGACCTATCCTTTGGGAGACACTATTGAGATCATTGAACATAGTGCTAAGGTTCTCCAGCGATTCTGCCATAAGGACTATATCGTCGGCAAATTGAAGGTGAGTGACGTACACGCATTGATGTTAATACCGTATCCTTTCCAGTCCAGTAGCTTGAAAACGTCTTCCAACGCAGCGGTGAAGAGTTTCGGGGATATAACATCACCCTGTCTTACACCTCTTTGCAGTTGGATAGGTTTCGAACTCTGGTTCTGTACTCGGATAGCCATCGTAGCCCTACTGTACAAACACTTCAGCATTTCGATATACCGACAGTCAAATTAGCACCGCTGAAGGGACTGTAGCACCGCCCAAATTTCGACGGAATCAAAGGCTTTCTCATAGTCCACATACGCCAGACCAAGTGGCAGATTGTAGTCTTCGGTCTTCTGTACAATCTTCCGCAGGGTATGTATGTGGTCTATGGTACTGAAGCCTTTTCGGAAACCGGCTTGTTCGGGAGGCTGGAAGTTGTCGAGTCTGCGTGCGAGACGATTCGTAATGACTCAATCTTGTAGGCACTGAAAGCGGTTACGTAACTCGAGCTGAAAGCTTTCGGGATTCTGAATTAGAGCACGAGGGGGACGGAGCGTTGACTTCATTAGACGTGACCTCTCCAACTTAATGTTTAGGTTCAGTGTGCCTCTAACCATTCGGTGATCGCTGCTGGTTTTCACCCTTGCGATCACTGAGATATCACTGAACAGTTAGCGTCTGGTCGTCATAATGAAGTCAATCTCATTTTTTGTCGAACCGTCGGGGCTCGACCAGGTCCACTGCCTGTTGGGCCGCTTCTGGAAGAAAGAGTTCATCATAAAGAGTCCCTCTTTCTCCATAAAGTCACCCAGCTGCTGACCCCTACGGTTCCGTTGCCCTGCTCCAAATTTCTCTAACTTCAGCTCACCGCCTTCTCTTGTGCCTAGTTTTGCGTTGAAGTCTCCCATCAACACCGTGTAGTGGGTTTTGGAGGAATGTTGTTGTTTGGAGGAATGAATGAGATTTTGGACAAATGCATTACCGAAAGCATTTATGTAGATTAATAGTGTAATTTATTTAATATCATTTAAACTAATACTTTTAATACATCACAGATTCAAAATCATGCAGAAAAAAAGTTGTTTGCGT